TTGAAAGAACAGAACATATTTACAGTGCACCAGTGAACAACAACACAAACCATCAGGAAAAGTTTCTGCTAATGAGCTCAGAGACTAAAGAAAATTAATCTGACCTTATGTCACAAGTTTGTTTTGGTCTCACTCCCTCTTGATTTTAACTCTTTGTTTACTTTCCTCACTTCCCTTTCTCTTCTCGTGAACTGAACTGACAATCAGATTGATTTAATTCACCGACGCCGATTCAACACACTGAATCGGCCAAAAAAAGTAGACAGAAGCCAACGAGGGCCAATGGTGTGGGACACACTGCACCAACCAGGCTGACAGAAGCTCACAGACAGCTGACCGTCGGCTTGTTGTGTCAGTACCGAGAGTACAGCTGTTCAACTGTGAGGCAACATAACAGTTGGCTTTCATTGCTGCTATTTCTCTGAAGTTGGTTTGGTGTGTCTGGGCCTTACACACACACACACACACACACACACACACACACACAGATGTACCTGATGCCATTGCAGCAGCAGACTTGAGACCAGTGGCCTCCACGATGCTGCCATCAGTGTGAACCACGATCAGGGTGGCCTTCTGGGTACTGAGACCATCGCCCAGCTGGAGGGTTGTCCTCCCGCTCTGTGACACACACACACACACACACACAGTAAATACACTTAGATAGAAGAAGGTTAAAGGTGGTGCAGTATAAGAAGAGGTTCAGCCAGCAGAAGGCACTGGGAGCACAGAAAGAACAATGACTGAGTTTCTAGTGGGCCTTTAGGAGTTTCTCTGGTCATCCTTAAAGAGGCTGAACACCTTTGGGAGATTTTACAGTGTTATTAGACGGCACTCTCCACCACCATCATCAAGAAGTGACATTAAATTGGGATAAAAAGTTGCCACTACTCTAAACCAGCAGTCAACAGATCAGCATCTGCAGCATGGATTATTGGAAGACACTAATTCCTACATACAACATACTAATTAATGTACACAATATGTTGATCTACCAGCACGTGTTCAGGGAGACTTCCTGACGTGGCAACCGTCGTGGTGAAAACATTGTCCTCTGCAGCTTGAACGTCCGCCACCGTCACAGCTGTCACCTCTGATGAACAACAAGAGAATATTTAATCATCATCACATACATCTCCAGATCAGTGCTTCTGCTGTATTATAGCTACTACAGTGCTCCTGTTGAGATCAAACTATATTAGCACTGCGGAACTGGAGTATTTAGACAGCATGTAAGGAAATATGGGACATTATAGATATCACCAGAATAAGAAGACATATTCTGTTGAGGATGTCATAATGTGTTTAACAAAGAAACATTACTTCACTTTTCAGCTGATGTTCCTGACAGCAGGCTGCACACTGACTCACATTTTCAGCAGCATTCTGACTTGTTCAGACATCACATGATAATTTAGATATGTATTTTGCATTATCATCATCATTATTATTATTATTATTATTATTATTATTATCATTATTATTATACAGCAGCTGGGCAAACATTAATCCAGCCTGGCCATCTGCGGAAGCCTTGACACACAACTTATCTGCCTTGAACTCCACTCACTATCATAAATTTGACGGAGGAACGGGGGTTAATTCAAGAGTCTGCACTTTTCTTACAGCTCTTTAATTCGGCATACAGGCAATTCAACAATCAAGTCTGAACTGAGTAAAATATAGATTTCAATCACAGTTAACCCTCATTCAGCAGTTTAAACACGGTGGGTTTGCAGCGTGAACCAACTCTAAAAATTGAATTTTATTAAGGTTGGGTGGTTGTTAAATGATGTCAGTCATGCCGAATTCAGGAGCACTTGCTAAATTAATAAACTGATTATGTGCACTATGATATATGTGACGTATATGTAATAAACAGGCTAAAAATATTTTAATTACATAATAACTGAACGGAGTTTGGCAAATACGTTCTGTTGCTGTGCACCACAAACCCGGACAAGCTATGGTGTTTACTCATAAATGTGTGAAGAGAAAAGGTTTTATTTATTTAAGAGTTGTTCACTTTCATGTGAAGGTCGTTGCTGGTTTAATTTGGTCGATATGAAGTGGTGACTTCGGCAGACATCAGTGTTCTCCCCGTCACAACATGTAGTGAAGCTAGCTGCCATCATTAACATCACTGTGTTTTGGCGCCACCCCGCACAGCAGCGGCCTGCTAGCTTGCCTGCGAATGCCGCCTCGGCCTCGTCTGGGTTCGGCAGGGACTCGGCTTCCATGTCGATATTTCCCGGTTCCGCCATCACGGCCATCGTGGTGACTTCGGCCTCCGACTCGGTATCCGAGCCCACTTCCTCCACCGGCGGTATGCCGATGGGCGGTTCAACCAGCCCGAGCGCCTTCGTGGCCGAGTCCGCTTCGTCCATTTCTCCGTCGAACGACAAGAGCCGAGTGTGGCCGAGCAGCCGCGGGGCAGAGCGCGGTCCGAGCGCAGCCGAGCCCGGTACGAACCAGAAGAGAACCGCGAGCACGGAACCTGATTACCGATAAACGGTTAAATAAACGACCCGAAAAAATAACGGGAACATTCGACAATCAGGCGCGGTTACAACGGCGAGAGAGCGGCCGCTCCGGTGTTTGTTTTTCATGAAGTATCAGGAAAGGGATGCACCGGAAATTGTCGAAGAAACACGAGCCGATCCGAAGCGACACAGAGGCCGAACACTCCACACAGAAACAGAAATATATGTATATAGCCAAGTAATGGATTACTTTTTCAACTTAATTTCAACAAGTTGACAAGGATAAGATGCTTAAGATATATATACATATGTTATATTGAAATTTATATTTATTTTCTGTAAGGCAAAGATAATTAGTAATACATATAAATCATACATTTAGACTGGTATGTATTTGTAAGTCGTGGATACCTGGTCATTTATATTATGGACTAAGGCAGGTTTATAGTTTGTAAGATAGATATTTGGTAATTCATTTTATATATTTACATGGGTTATTTTAAGGTATAAGTTTATCTGTATGAGGAAGCTGTCTGTTTCATTTCACTCAGTGACTTATGGAGAAGGGGTGGCTTTAATGATGTTATACGTCCTCCCAAATCACAGTAACTATACACTGACAATTGCTTTTATGCTTTTCATTATTTATATTACTTTCTTTCTGTCTGCTTGTTTGTACGTTCATGTCTTGTTTTACATGTTCAGAATACATTTCAAATATATCAACCCATTTGTTTCCATTCTTTTAAATTATTTTCTGTTGAGTTTGAAGTGTTTTATGTGCTGATGTAAAACTCCCGATTCATTCATACAATTAATTCTGATGAAAAAGAATTAATTTACCTGTCTGTCTGCTCTCACATGAATACATGTGGTGAAAAAACTTCTAAATTGGTCTGAAGCTTTCACTTCTGAGTGGACACAGTAAATACCAAAATATGTGTAAATAATCTGTTTGCCCAAATAAAACCTGTAGTCCATCCTGTGTGTAAGAAACACTGTCTAATAGTTAGAGCTTTGCAGTTTAGGCAGTGGTGGAGGAAATATTCAGATTCATTACTTACTTAAGTACACTGTACAAATACAAAGGGGGGCGCTATAGCAACCGACTGAAATTGCAAACTTTGAATGGGCATATCTCATGAAACTTTGCACAGAGATGCCTCTCCTCATGAGGAACAAATTTGCCTCAAGAACCCATAACTTCCGCTTATATAGATTTTCCGCCATTTTGAATTTTTTGAAAAACACTTCAGATGGATCTCTTCCTAGGAAGTTTGAGTGATCTGCATGAAACTGGGTGAACATAATCTAGGGACCAATATCTAAAGTTCCCTCTTGGCAAAAGTTGGAAAACTTACTAAAACTGAGCTTCTATAAGGCAATGAATATTGCGGAGGGCGTGGCTCATCACATAAAGGTGTATAACATCTCAAGGGTTTCACCCATCACCACGCAACTTTGTAGGCATATGACCACACATAATCTGAGGGGACCCCTCCATTATTGACCCCATCAAACAAAATGGGGGCGCTAGAGAGCTCATTTCTTATCTAGGCCTAACCGCCATATGGATTTTTACTAAACTTGGTAGATATGTAGAACAGGACGCCTCAAGGTGACTGGAGAAATTTAACTCTAATTGGCAACTGGGTGGCGCTATAACAACAGAAAAATGCTTCAAAATGGCTAAAATGCGACCGATCGCTGTGGCTCCCCCTGTGGACCAATGTTGTTGGGTTTTTTCTAGTTTTTGGTATGACTAAGTCATGGTATGGTATGCTGTACATAATCACGGAAACTGTCAGTGTGTCATTCTGTCAGTCAGTCATTCTGTCTGTCCCACGTTTTTCTACTCACTGATGTGGTCAATCTATGTGAAACTGCACATAGGCATTGAGGATTGGCATAGGTAGAAGGTGACAAAGCTACCAATGGGTTTGGACTAGTACAAATATATTTCTTAAAAAAAAACAACAAAAACAGTGATGAGATATATTGTTGAAATCTATAGTGGTTTTTATTAAAATATAATCTACTCTCATTTGGTTTTCAAAATAAATCTGTATAATATTCTCCATGGCATACAGTAATTATGAAACTAGGCTTTTATCTAAATTTAAGAATATTATAAAATTGCAAGTCATAAAATATTTTCAGTATCACATTACGCCTAGACCCTAAATTAACTGCAGAAAAAAATCCACAAAAAAAGTTCCACAATTAAAATCATTTATTACATGTGTATTAATGATAATAATAATTAATAAAAATAATAAATGTCTGCTGTGGGTGATGAGCCGTCCAGTCAGCTGGAATGTAAACAGAGAAAGGAAACTCTTTTAAATGCTCTTAAATCTCCTGCAGTCTCTCTTCAGCAGTGATGTGCTGTGCAGACTTAATGTGGAGTACAAAAACAAGACAGAAGAATTATGCAAACCGTCCGTATAAACCATAAACAGAACAGATCNAGTACAAAAACAAGACAGAAGAATTATGCAAACCGTCCGTATAAACCATAAACAGAACAGATCACTGGTGAGTAATTCTGTCAATAATAATTTGAATAAATTTGTTACAACTCAAAACCTACTTTTAAAGTCCAGTGTGTAGGATTCAGGGGCATCTGTTGGCAGAAATGGACCGTAGGTGTAAAATCACCTGAAACTAAACCTCAGAATGAGCCCTTAATATCTACATACAGAGCGGCTCCTCTTCCACTGAGCCCACCATGTTGTTTCTACTGTAGCCAACAATGGACAAACCAAACACTGGCTCTTGATTGGGCCATTCACATTTTCTCCCGTTGTTTCCCTCCAGCCTTGGCACACAGCTAGGAGAAGTGTCAGTTCTGCAACCAGATGCCACTAAATCCTACACACCTTTTAAATTACTGTGTAGTCTGGAAACGAGGCACAGCCACTCATTTGTGGCTGAGCTCCACCTGAGCTCTGTTTAGGCTCCACCTTCTCTTTGCCCATATTAGGACTTCCTGGCTGCAGGGTCAAACACGGTGCTGGGCTGAAAAGCCACAAACTCCAGGCATATTTTTTTGTTTAATAGACCCCAGCATGTTGGGTATGACCAGGCTCACCACCTTTTCCCCTGCTGAGCTGGCCGGCGCCCCCGCTGGTCAGTTCAACAATACAACAAAATGTTTCCCGTCTACTTCCTGTTTGTTTTCTCACTTTGGTGCAGAATAAAAAGTCTTTTCCAGTGCAGGAGAGCCACAGAGATGATTTATCAAATATGGGTCTGCAGTCTCAGCTCCTGGCTGATCTTTGTTTTCCTGTCAGCGTTGGATCCTGGAGACCATGTAGTAGAGCAGGAAGAAGACCAGGACCAGGCCCACAGAGACGTAGCAGAGGATGCGGCGGTTGTCTCTGCCTGATCGGACCATGGTGGAGAAACGCTTCACGCTGCCGCTCAGCAGGCCCGTCGCACTCAAGAAGTTTGAGTCCTGAAAAGAAAAGGACAAGAGAGGGAGAGAAGATTGTGACGGAACTTTTATTAAACCGGCCTTTAAACATCCTCCATTCACATATTTAAATCTGCATTTAAATCCAGAGGAGTGATGTGAATGGGTCGGCAGGTCATTAACACCAACAGACTGTTTAATGCCACTCACTTGTCCATCTCACAGAACAGATTCACTTCTAATTTATTAAATGTAACCCTCCACACAAAAAAACATGTCACTTCTCCTTCTTACGGTCTCTCAGCGAGAGTGAACCTGGAAGCTAGAAACTTTTTTGGCGCCAGGCGAGCAGCTCCATTGGAACGAATCTTGGCTTCTGGTATCTAGTTATCATTCAAATCTACGTTTAAGTCCAGTGCACTTCCTGGGGGCATACTTTGCTAAGATAAAACAACGATCATTTGGTTTCCACTCAATAACTACTAGGGATGGGTCACGATTTTCAAATTTCGAATAGTCGTTTTATTTTTGAAAAATCAATTTTTTAAATGCGACTATTACTATTCGCCGTCTTATTTCCCCCCTTTATTTGACATGCAATTCTGCTCCTAACTGCAACAAGGGCAGTATTGGATTGCTACAGCGGTGTGAGATGGGCTACCAGCTAGTTTGATGCTCTTCTACAAACAGGACAAACATGCAGAGACTACTACTCCGCGAGGAATGTCAGCAGTCATTCGGGCTTTCATAGTTGAGCGCACTTCCGCGTTGTAGTTTCCTGTAAAAATGTCCGTGAAAAATCCCAGCGATGTGAAATTATTATTCGAAAAATTGTCGAATAGTTGCCACGATTTTCGAATAGTGTTTTTGCTTGTGCTGCCCATCCCTACTAACTACAGGCTTTAAAAGTGTAGTGATGGCTCAGAATCATGGGATATGTAGTTGGATGAAAATAAGTCAGCTTTTCACAAAGACAGGTTGAAGAAATCCTCAGAGAAACAACAAATGGTACTTTTTTTTAATTTGATGTTGAGGCATTCACTCACATTCAGCTACATGAAAAATATTTACATTTACCTTATTGTCATGCATCATATGTTGATTTTTTAAATCAAGTTTAGAGGTCTACAGTTATGAAAGGCATTGGATATGACAGTGAACTCAGTATCTTCCTCTGCCAGCTTTTAGGACAGGAAATTAAGGAAATTCTTCATTTCATCTTGAACCTTACGGCAAGATGATTCTGTTGGTTGTATTTATTCTAGGTTTGTTTTTCTGGTTCTTGTTTGTTTGTTTTCCTTTTTCTTAAGGCTGTTTATGTTTCCTTGTGTGTTGTGTGCATGTGGATATTTTTTGTGCCGCTTGTTTGTTTGTTATTTGCTTGTTTTGTTTCATTTTTAATGTGTAATAACGTCAGGTTTTTGGGGGGTTTTGTAGTGGATTTGTGTCGGGAAAGGCTCTTAAAATGCCTTTCAGGCTTCCTTCCTCTCCTGCACTGAAATTAATCTTTTTTCTAGTATGCATTTTGTTTATTTTTTATCTTTTAGTGCAAATAATACTGGTAGGAGGCCCCGGGGCAGACCCAGAACACGCTGCAGGGGTCATATATCTTGTCTGGCCTGGGGACGCCTCAGGGTCCCCCAGAGGGAGCTGAAAAGCGTCACTGGGGAGAGGGACGTCTGGAGTACGTTGTTCAGCCTGCTGCCCCCGCGACCCGGCTTCAGATAAGCGTTTGAAAATGGATGGATGGATAAAATAAACTGAAGATTTCATTTAAATGGACACCTACGAGCCAATCACAAACAAGCTCTTTCCAGGGACATGGCGTGTAAATATACATATAAATTAACATATATGCACACATACACACAAACATGGACTCACCATGCCATCCAGATACTCGTTCTGATCATCAGCCTCTCTGTCGATTTCGTATGCCAGCTGTCAGATTCAGAGACAGGACAGATGACAGAGTTAAAATAAAAGACACATCTTACACATTTTATCCTTTCTAGAAAATGAATGAGCAATAACATCAGATTAATCTTTATATTATCACAGGGTCAAACTACGGGACAGAGGAGAGGACATAGAGCAGATTGTGAGGAAGGAACATAATGTGTATATATGGAACGGTATTACTTCATTGTTTAATTGTTTGTTGTGACTCACAGATTTCAGTCTGGAGACTTTGGTGGCCAGGTTCTCAGCCAGCCGTTTGTTTTCAGTATCCAGCATGTCGTCCACAGAGCCATGACCTGGAGACACACAAACACACAGGATCAGAAATGAATCAGTAGTTGCTGTAGACATAATTCTGTGTCAAGTCTTAAGTAGGTTCTATTGTTACATTCTCGCTATTCACTTACAAATAAACTGATAGACCGACAAATAAGTGAAGTCTGCCTGAGTCCCCTGTAACATGTCAGTCAGTTAGTAAACCTGAAACACTTTATTTTACTGTCCCCATAGTTTCCTAATAGTCTCCTAAAAGGGACTGAGATGTAAGTGCAGTACGTTAGTAAGGTTCCTAGAAATTAAATGTGTAATCTGGTACTGTTCATGGGTAAAATGGAAGATCATACTTTCAGTTTTTCCAATTAGTAAGAATTCAACTTTTTTTTTTAATCATCTGGTAATAAACAGCTGCTAATGAAGTCAACATAAATATTTAGGTGCTGTATTATTTCTTTGTTCTGTCTAATGAAACTGTAAAAGTTTCATAGTTTCCCTGGTTCTGTCTTAATAAATCAAAAAAGGCCTGTCTGTAGTTTTTAAAGCACTGGGGAGGGACTTTAAATGGCTGCACTCTGTGTTTATTTTATCACCAATTTTCAAAGAAAATGCCAAAATTACACCAAGAATGGCAAGAATCTGTAAAAACAGAAATTATGGTTGGATCTTTAAATTTCCGACAGTCCATGAACACATTATGTGGGATCAACACTTCCATTCAGGATAAAAACAAAACTAAACATGTCCAAATCAAACCTTATTTCATCAAAACCTGTTTAATCTTTATGTCTCATTAAACATTTTGCCAAAAATAAACCGTTTGCACAGAGTAACTAGCAGGCACGACAAGAGTGAAAAAACTGAGGCTTTTTTCAACTCCAGCATTTTGTCTTTAACTTTCAAACATCAACCAGTCAGTTTTTAAAATTCATTCATTCATTTTCTGTAACCGCTTATCCTGTTGGGGGTCGCGGGGGTGCTGAGGCCTATCCCAGCTGACACTGGGTGAGAGGCAGGGTTCACCCTGGACAGGTCACCAGACTATCACAGGGCTGACACATAGAGACAGACAACCATTCACACTCACATTCACACCTACGGACAATTTAGAGTCACCAGTTAACCTGCATGTCTTTGGACTGTGGGAGGAAGCTGGAGCACCTGGAGGAAACCTACGCTGACACAGGGAAAACATGCAAACTCCACACAGAGGGGCAACCCACCCCAGGTCACCACCATCATGATGCCAGTTTTTAAAATCTATCGAATAATTTATGGTGGAGGAAGTATCGTGCATTTTTCACCCAGATCACTCAGGATGGCTCAAAGAAAAATATTTATAGCTTTGGATAGGATAAAAAAAAGTTAAGAACAGTCCCTAAATCATTTATTTACAATGGCATCACTTGTCAAGGGTGTGTAGTTGGTACCCGCCCTACTCTCCCTCTGATTGGCTACTACTTGTTGCATCTTTGGTTGGATTGGTTTGATTCAGGCATTACAGTTTAAGAACGTCAAGGTAAGCCAATCAGAGGAGGAGTAGGACAACATGGGGCGGGTCTTGCCTTCCACAATCAAGTGTAAAATAATGTGCATAATGGTTTAATTTTTAATAATTTACTAATTTACTAACAAATGAAGAAGAAGAAGAAGATATATAGTCAAAGGTAAGAATATTCATAGCTTTGAGTATGTTTTTTAAATTAATTTAAGCATAGTTAAGAAAGATAATCTGTCAATCCGCTGAAAAGGGCGCCACCTAACGTTCATGACCTCTTACATCTGTGAGCTAACGTTAGCTAACATAGCAAACGTTAGCTAACAATAGCTAAACTTACTTTTAATGGCGGTCTCGACATGTAGAAAAGCAAAGTTAAATCTTATGACAGCCAAAGGCCACTTAATTACTTATGTTTTGCAACTGACGAAAAATAATTAAATAAGTGAGTGAAATTTAACCAGATAAATTTCTCCTGCGCTAAAGTTAGGCTAACGTTAGCTGCAGTTCACATAATGACCGTTTATTAGCGTCAGCCAACATTAGCAAGGTTCAATTCAAGTTCAAACTCCAGCTCAGCCGTTAGCACAAAGCGGTGGGTGGGTGGGTCAGTGCTCAAGTGTGTGGCTGTGGACGGGGAGCAGCTTAACGTATTTTAGACTCCTAAAAAAGACCACAGTAAAGTGAAGGCATTAATTTACCGTTTTACCCTGCAGTCAGCTCTTCCTGGCGGGGGACTGAAGCCGTTAACAGTTATATCGCCATCTTTAAAGCCACCAGACTCAGCTGACAGAAACATTAATATTAGCTCACAACGTAGAGGAGCAGCAGAAATTAGGCACTGAAAGTCATTAAACAGCCTTGAATTTGTGAGGTCTTAACTGCCACAAAAATGTCATATAATTTAATTTATCCATATTTTATTTTATTTTATCAAAAGTGAGTGAAACTCCACATTTATGATGCTACAAATAGTTAAACCTACATGTGAACCTCATTCTGTCTTTCTACTTTATTTTGCACTCACCTGTTGGCAAAATATATACAAGTCTGACTCAATTCATTTGCATGGGACTACATATACTTACCTTTATATTTAACTGTACTGCTTAAATAAGAGAAAGATGATGTGTCCAAACATCAGTCTAAAATTTGAGATTAAAATTAAATTGAAAACGTCTTAAAATGCATTCACTTTAGATGCCTGTAGACACAATGATTTTAACGCTAAAAACATACAGACCAAAATTAGAATTGTCAGATCTGAATACAAACACTACTGGAAAGCTTCCGAATGATATAAAAAACTAAAATAAAACAAAATAGAGCTGGACTTTAAATCGATTAAACAGTCTGTCTACTGAGTATTTGATGGATACATTGATTAATATGTCTTTACAATGTAATAACGATGCACTAACGTTAACTCCCCAAATGAACCTAACATAGAGTACGTTCACACCAACTGACAGCTTTCTACCAAACGGTCGGACACCTGTTGAGTTAAAGCCACTCAACGTTTGCGTTAACTAACATTAATATATATAATTAGTTAACTTAAAGCACTCCCTACCTACCGACAGTTACGCTTTCTCTTGCTGGCCTGTGCCATTGCTGACTGATGTATGACATGACACCACTTATCACTCTTGTGTCGGAGTGTAAATAAGTATGCTAAGGACCCGGACTACCGTGTCCTGCTAATGTGATTACCATGTCATAACAGGACTACCGTGTCCTGTTAGGGTGACTAGAGGAAGTGGTCGCAGGACATGGTAGACCATGTTTTTCCTGTTGTTGGCATTAAGCTAACATACACAAGAATTAACTTCTTAACTGCGCGCGCATATCAGGGACGAATTAATCATCTTGACTCCCTCTTGCGTAGAGAATAATGGTAGAGTATCACGGGCTGAGCAAATCTTTCCGTTCATGGTGGTCAGGACCTGTGTTATGTTGAAACAGATAAACAAACAGCTAAACTCTTCAGCTAGTTAGCCTGTTAGCTAAGATCCACTGTTAGCCTCCAAGTGAAGTAACTACAGATGTAAACACTGAACACACAGCTGATCTGATGTTTCGTTTAGGTTATACACTCGATCACACAGCTGTTACATCAACCCTGACCTGCTCAGGGCGGTTAATGGCTAAATATTCAGAAGTGAGTACGTGTCAAAAAACATTACCTCTATTCCAGTCCGCCATGTTGCCGAGTAACGTCACGATCAGCTGTGTTTGATAGATGCATGTGACGGCCGCTCCCCCTGAGAAGAGCACAGCTTTCTTTTTCTTTTCTTTTTTCCTTCTTCTTCTTCTTCTTCTTCTTCTTCTTCTTCTTCTTTATTGGCATTACCGCCCCCTACTGGTGAGGAGTGTGGATCGTTCGTGATTCTATCCTGACAACAAGGGAAAAAAATCTTAATATAAAGAAAATGTAGACAAATGAATAAAATTATGCTATATTCTCTCTCAAACAGATGTGCCTCCTAAGACACTGTGACAATGCTTGATAACATGTCGGTGAAGATTCACAGTCATCCAGGTCAAGGTAATCGTAAGTGCTATATCGTAGGCAACTGGATTTGCTTGCGTTTCTCTCACTCAAACTTTTTTGTAAAATATCTCTTAAATCAAAACTTAATTTTTTTAAGGTCCTCTATATGTTCCCTTCTCTCAACCTCATATTTTCCACAGTAAAGTATAACATGTTCTAAGGTTTTCTCCTGGTCACAAGAGTCACAGTTTCCTGAGTTATGTTTCTTTATTTTAAATAGTGTGCTTTTAAGTCCTGGATGACCAAATCGTAGTCTTGATATTATATTATTATGCAGGATCTCACCGTCCTTCTCATCACACCTACATTTCTTTTATTCTATAAAACCATCTGTCTGTTCTTTCTTCTTCCCACAGCTTTTGCCTCCTTTCTTTTAACTTGTGCTTAATTTTGGTCTTCATTTCTGTTTCACTTAAAGCAGGCATGTCCAAAGTCTGGCCCAGGGGCCAATTGTGGCCCACAGACCAATTTTAATCGGCCCTTGGCTTGACTTTCAAAATATACCATATGTAGCCCTTTACAAAACAATAGTTTTACGAGCAAGATCACTTTGTATTTTTACCCTTTACCTCACAATGATAGGACTATCATACAGATTGTAGACAAGCATCATGTAGTAATAGTTCATTTAAAGATAAAAATGGTTGCATTTGTCTCACTTTTTTTGTTTTAAACCCATTTGATGCGAGAATCAGTTTGCCCCCCAGGTATTTTCACGTTGTGTTATCTGGCCGCCAAAAAAGTTTGGACACCCCTAACTTAAAGGGACTGATATGTCGATATGATTAATGATCTGAGACTCATGAGATAAGATACTATTCACTGTCAGAGTGGAAAACAACCAAATGAAAATAAATGAAATGAAAAAATAATTCAAACACACATCAAATTGCATTCACATCTTTGATTTTATATCGCCAAGAAGGGGTGTGGATTGACATTTTTCCCTAAGTGACCATATGTGCCAGTCTGGATTGTTGGCACATGCAGCTAGTTGGCAGCATGAATGTCTTAAAGGTGAGTAAAGTTAGCAAGCAGTATCAGTTTGTATTTCTGAAAATGCCTGGGAAGTGCATGTGCAATAATGTATGGCTGTGATGCTATATTAGGCTTAAAAAATGTGGTAGGATATTATGGAAAAGTTTTTGAAATTCATTGGTAACAATGTGGGAATTCTGTTAATCACTTTGTTATGGACTAACAGTATACTGTGGTAAATAGAAGGTTTTCCTCCAACAATAAAACACAGAAGATTAGAGATTGTCCTAAATTCAAGGTGTGCTGTGTGTAGTGTATTGACTATGGGTGACCACTGGGTGGAAGCACACACACATACACACTTGCCCAGTGCTCAGTAAAACAATTCACCCAGAATGAACTTATCAAGCAAGTTTATCTCACAGACTTTAATCTTCTTATGAGATAAATTGATTTATTTAAGACAGTCTCTTAAGTTGTAACATGCAGTGAAGTTTGTACTAGATTAAAATGTGTATTAGAAATTTGTATCAATTATGGTTTTGTGGCTGCATGAATCAGAGCTCTGATAGACTGGTGACTGAGGGACGCGTGGCTGTTCCCTCGCTGATCCGCCCAATCCTTGAACTACTTTGACAGAGTGAGTTTTAGAGTGTGGGGTCAAAGGTCATGCTAGCTCAGCATGAAAACACTATCATGCAAATGTGAAACAGTGATATCACCCCGTGTGTGTGTGTTCAGTTAATCCTCCTGTGTCTCTGTGCTGTAATCCACCGGTGTGTGTGTGTCACGTGTGTATGTGCCACCTGACGTCAGCCAGCATCACTGCTGCTCACAGGGCGGGGGGGGGGAAGGGACGTGTGCGTGAGTTTTGTGTGCGAGTCTGTTAGAAACCAAAACAATGGTAGTTCAGAACGCCTGGTAGTTTTGCAGGGATCATGTTTTGTTTTGTTTTTGTCGCCCAACATGGAAGTTAAAATCACCCTGGTTCCCTCAACAAAAAGCCAACTGGATTTTAACATTGGATTTTGGATTATTGGAAGACATAAACTCTGTGTCAAACAAAAGTTTACGATCCCTGTACGTTTTGTTCAGCGAGATAATCTTCACAAAGGAACTTCACTTTTATTCATTTTGAAGTGTAAATGCAATCACCAGAAGTAAAAAGCTAAAGTTAGACTATAAACAGACTACACCAAGGTCGTATGGCGTCACCGTCACCACCTCAACAAGGCTGTAAAACCGTTATGGCATGATAACGTTTAATGTCCCCCCATCAACCTCTGTAGTCTCATTTAGACACTTGTTGGCAACTGCCTTTATATTTTGTGTATGCATATTGGGGATGATAACGATCACTCAACAATCCATTGATTGGTTGTTAAAAATTTGATCAAATGTGTGAAATTTAATCAATCTATCGATAGGCTATGCTTGGGCGAGGCAATGTATCAATATTATTATCAATATCATAAACATGAGACTAGATATCTTCTCTGGTTTTGAGTTTTGTAATATTAATGTCAAGGTATTTGGTAAAAAACACTGTGGCATTTGATTTTCTCCGTATCGCAGTGCTGTTAGAGTTTATTCAATATGTTGCTGTCAGCTTTGATTGAGGAAAAAGCACATTTGGTATTGTTTGATACAAGCAACGTTAATCACAATCAATTTATGAATTGATTGTTAATGTTACCAACAATGGATTAAGTAAAGTGCTTACAATCTGTAACCCTAATACATATATTAGGGGTGTAAGAAAATATCACTACACTTGAGCATCGGGTATTATGTTTTGTGATCCTGAATCAATTAGCGAAAATGCTACTGATTTTTAATTCATAAGTTACATGCAGATATTCATGGCATTAGTTCATTTTGCATTGTGTTTAAACCCCCAATCACTAGACCCATCTATCTTGAGACATTTGAGTCTTTCACTTCTACGTAATAACATATTGCTAGCTAGTGTTAACACAATGAACACTGGGCTCTGAAACAGGCAGAGTAATAAAGGACGCACTGCTAGCATTGACAGTTTTCCTGAAATGACATTATGCTAGCCTGTTTCAGTTCTTTTATCACAGTTAACTGGTTGCTAGGGCGTTTTCTGGTTGTTGCTTCCTGACACTTGTCTTCAGTTTTACGTCTTCTGCTCTGTTTGGTGTATTCCTCTCTGCAGGTGAAGCTGCTGCAGGTTTAGATGTGGTGTGTGTATAGACATGTGTGTAGACCTGACCTGTGTAGACCCAATCTGTGACTTTGTGCAGACCTGGTGTGTGTAGATCGGGTTTGTGTAGACCCAGTCTGTGATTCTGTGCAGACCTGGTGTGTCTCTCAGCAGGAGGAGCTGCAGCAGATTTAGATGTGGTGTGTGTAGACGTGTATGTAGACCTGCTCTGTGTAGACCCAGTCTGTGACTTTGTGCAGACCTGGTGTGTGTAGACATTGTGTGTTGTGCTCAGCAGGAGGAGCTGCAGCAGCAGCAGTCTTTCTGGCTCTCACTGAAGCCACAGATTGTCTAATTAGATTAAGCGAGGCTTTCCTCAGATAATCAGTTAGCCAGCTCCTGTTTTTTCCTCCGATGGAGCGCTGCTTGTGGCTGTGAGCTTGCTGAAGGTCAAATTGAATTTTTGAACAACAGGCTGGTTTTGGAAATAAACTGTGGTCTAGGAGCAGGTCTGCAGACTGCCAGCTGAGGAGCAGTGGCTGGGTTATGGGCTGTTTCTGGAGCTGTGAGTGTGACGCTGCTCAGAGTAATCAGACTGCCACTAATACCTGCTGCTGCTAACAGGAGGCGATGGGGGAAGTTTCTGTAAGTAAAGCCTTTCTTTTCCTCAGTGATACAGTAATGTTATATCAGGCTGGCTTTGAAAAGTGTTTATGTCAAAAAGCCTGAGTGTGTTTTCTTCATGTGGAAGGTTGAGTCTGTTTTTTTATGCAGCTATTGTTTGTATAATATTATGTACTGCTGTGATTACTCATTCATTATTAACTGATCCAAAGAGAATTTTATAAAAATCTAAATGATCCTGTTGCAGCTTCCTTAATGTGAAGATTTACAGCCCTTCAGTGTTTCCTGTTGTAAAACGAATCTGTTTGTGTTTTTGGACTGTTAACTGGAATAACTAATGAAGCTCTAGTTGTGTAAGCAGCAAAGCTCTATCCACCAGTTTGACCAGATAACTTGTCTCTCAGCTCGTTCACCTCCCAGTAGTTCTTTTCCTCCTCTCCTTCCTGAAACAGGCTGCTTCTCTCTCGCTCAGATTAAGCCTCGGCTGACTGATTGACACAGATTACAGTTGAAGGCACAGAGGTCACAACCTGTGAGGAACAAATATAAAGGCTTTCAGTTCACACACCAGCAGGCACAATACTCTATACCACACATAGATATTCATCCATCATGTTCAAAGTGAATCAACAATTAAGATGTACTGATCTTTTTCTTTTTTGATTGAGTAACCTCTCAGTTAACAAAAAAAACGTAACCACTAGTTATGGTGAGAACTGAATTTGTTCAAGAGATTTGAAAACTGAACAAACTCTGAATGTTGTTTAAATATTTTTCATCCTCCTGCTGACCCACACAGAGACTTTAAAATGAATATTTTCTGTCATTAAGTTTGTTCTCGCCTTAAATACTCCTGATTGACTCCTGCTGTTGCCCTTGAGAAAAGTAATGTGCTTAGAGCTAAAATTGGTTGTCAGGCTAGGAAGGATAAAACAAGGAATTCTGAAATAGTTTTCATATTAATTATTTATATTACTAATTGTATTTTCAATCAAATATTTTTATATGATGATGTACATGATGAGGTCCAAAATAAACACCCGCCAAGCACCAAATGCGGGAAGATTTTCTGTTTGGCGTGTAAATCTCAGGAGGCTGGCTTCCACACTGGCGGGTAAATGTTTGTACCAAAATAGTCACGTGATAAAAAACTATGCGGAGTCTCTACAATATGTTGGTGTCATTTATGGTCGCACTGTTTCTGTCCTCCTTTGTCTTATGTGTCAGAGATGAGTTTGACTCTCACAGTGACAAGCACTTCATGGTGCATTCAGGAGCCCCTCGTGAACTCTGAAATCTGTATTACTTTGTACAGCAAATAGTGTGGACACCAACCACGGTGCATTCATGATCACCTTGTAAACTCAGTAATCTAGACTCGACTGGCCAGGAGGGTTGTTTAAAATGGGAGGTTTTTTTTTATTTTTAATTGTTTTACTTTGTTGAAATACATCTGTCAACACTTTCTTTTTCTGTCCCAACAGCATTAGATGCTAGAAATGCTAAAATCAAAACAATATCCCATTCATTTCTACATAGACAAACTTTGAACGTTTTAAAGTTGTTTTACTGCAGCATTTTAAATAATTAGATACTAAAGTCATGCCCAATATACAGACATGTTGACCAGTAAAATATGCATGTTTGAAATAAACTTTACTGCTTGCTACTGTTGTCTTGGACGATAGAAAATATGCTTGGCTGGTGTATTTTTACATCTACTAGTCCCCCAAAGGAGTCAAAAAGTTAATTTTGGACAGTACTGTGATATTAAAATTGACAGTAATCACACCATGAACATTTGCGTATCTACATTATTGAAAAAAATGCAACTGGATTGAGAATCTCAAATTTATTATAGTTATTTTCAAAAGGGAGACCTTTACACAAACTGGCATTTTTAAAAAAAATGGTTTCAAGTTATAGTAATAAAATGTTTGTTTAACCAAAATAACACCTCTGTTTTCATTCCTTTAGTCATTTTAACTTATAATAAGAATAATTCTGTAATGCTGTGATACCGTGAAGCTGCAGCCCTATTTCGGACACTGGTGCACACTTCAAAACCTCCACAATCCAAGGAATTTAATTCTAGAAGAGAAATTTGTTGACATCATATTTCTTGCTAGGAAAAAGTCAAATTAAATATGTCAAGACATAAGAAATATCAGTCATTTAAAACCAGAAGCAATACCAAGCACATGACCTTGGTGTCCTGTGCCCATCCCTAACTGTCCAGTCGCGCCCTTTAGGTGGTGATATTTCTACCTTTTTCCCAAAGAGTCACTTGTTTGTTTTCTTTCTGAAATAACCTGATCTGTCTGTCCCCCACAGTCACACAGTCCCTGTCAGGCCAGATCTTCACCTCAGGCCGACCACTGAGTCTGTGTTTTTTGGGAGGCCTCTGTCGAGAGCCAGAGGAAGGAGACATGGCCAACAACTCTTTTCGTGGGTCCAAACATGGCCGACGTGGCGAGGCCAACCACGAGGCAGAGTTCAGCTGCTCATTGCAGGAGCTGCGCTCACTCATGGAGTTACGAGGAGCAGAAGCAGTAACTAAGATCAAGGACAGTTATGGAGATGTTAACGGACTGTGTGCCAGACTGAGATCGTCACCAGTTGAAGGTAAATATGTTGGGAAACTCTGCTTCTGTGTTCAGTTTGTGTTCACACTGATGCTATCTCTAAAACAACAGGGCTGACTGCCAGCTGGAGCATCACAACACCAGACATGTGAAAGTAAAACTAAACTTAAGTTCAACCACAGGCAGTGTGATGCTCCACTGTGAATACAGTTTGGTGTTTTCAGTCAGAGCCACGTTGGTATGTAATGATGTTTTAGGCCCCTTTACTGGTGACTCACCATTAAACCAGCGGAGGACATATTAGATTTTGTCTGGCTTGAGGGAGCGCTGACTGTATGATGGTCAAAGTCAAGTATGACCTGCAGCCTCTGTTGATCCTGCTCTGCACTCTGTCAGCTTCAGGACAGTATGAGACAACCAGCATGTTCCGGTCTCTAAATACAGCATTAAATTAAGAGTCGCAGCAGCGAGGTCAGGATGATTTATCTTGTTGTTTCTGAGGCCGTTGTAGTGAAGTGACTGAAAGGATTTTTGACGATGTTGTCAGAAAGAAAGTCCTTTTACACTTTGTTGGTTGTTTGTTCACCATCAACAGTAAACTGAGATGAAACTGTTGGGGACGCTGTACAAAAACCACAGTGTGTCTTTAACCAGGGATACACTGATTATTGATCTATCAGTCATTTGACTGCTGTCAGCACAGATGGTGATTATTTTCTGCTTAGTTTTATCAAAGTTGGCTGCACACGCTCAGTATCGTGACACCAACTCATCACATCTGTGTGCAAATTGTGCAAATGCAACAAGTGCACAGTGGCAGGTCTTGGATCCTCAAACTGTGAGGACGTGTCCAAGAGCACCAACTATCTTGGTTCATGTATTACCAGCAGAGCAAAATGAAAAAGGGCTTGGTGAAGTGAAATAGAAATTGGAGGGAATAGTGATGAATAAATACACTTGAACCAATCACATTACTGAAGTCATCACATCACTATAAGCATGAAAACTATCTCCACAAATGGAAAGATGCTTCTTCAGTGTTACTGCAAGTGTTTAGTGTGTTAATAAAACCACCAATGTTTCTGTATTTTACTAAAAATAACTGACATTATTCTCCAGATATGATGACAAGGCTCTGCGTTACTATTAATACTAGGCTATGACATAATAACCATCATCTTTCGAGATTTCGCTCTTCTAACGGATTAGAGTTTGCTCTTTCTGTGAATGAGTCTCCATCCTGTCTAATGAGATTAGCCTCCTGATTTACACCCAAAATGTTGTCAAATCTTGCACTTAATAATTGCCAATGCAGCCTCCAAGGTGCAGAGGAAACAAAATATCTTGCAAAGAATGAATAAATAATACAGCTCCAAATCACTGAGATGTCATGCACAGGATTATTATCACATGACATTCGTGTTAGTGAAAATGGGTGGGTAAATTGCTGTGGAACTTTTACTTGACAAATTACAGACATGGCAGATTTGCACAGCATTCAGGTCAGACACAACTTCCCAATTATTACAAATTTCTAGAGGTCAGTATTAGTCCTGTGTGAAGTAAGGCTGCTTTCTCACCTGCCCTGTTTGGTTCAGTACAAACAAACTCAAGTTTGTTTGCCCCCTCAGTGCGGTTCGTTTGGGCAGGTGTGAACACAGCAATCACACTCAGGTGTGCACCAAAACAACCAGACTGAGACCTTCTTGAAGAGGTGGTCTCAGTCCGGTTACAAATGAACTCTGGTGCGGTTTGTTTGTGGTGAGAACGTGTTCTGACCTGGATGTGAAGCAACTGCAGTCACATGACACATTGTTTGGGTTAAACATCAGCATGTTACAGTCCTGGAGGATTATTAATGTGCACCTCCTCCTGTACTGCCTTAATATGCACATTCAGCACATCCAATGCATCAAAACATTGTTTTCTAGTTGGAGCCGCGCCTCGTTTTCAAACTGTATGGTTTGACTAAAATGAACAATGACAGCAATATAGTCCACGATGAGCAGCACTAAAATCAACCCAGACTGGGACCAAAGCAAGCTAACTCTAGGTCTGAAAGCACCCTAAGACTCAATTTCTAACAAAATACCAGCAACTTGCTTTGTGCTGCCTCTTTTGAATGTACCCTCCATCTGTTTGTGTTCCTCCTCTCTCCTGTGTACCGTGTTTGTAGTGCTGGGCACCAAAATGTCACACAAACATGCAAAGCACATTTCAAGGTCAGGGAAATACCAAACTATCTGCACACTGCTTGTGCTAGTCGTTGGCCTGCTTCGAAATCAGAGCCCTAAGTGTCATAAGAACTGAGGCAGTATGTCGCTGTCATTTGCAGACCATGATATGAAAATGTCCTCCGCTTCAATCTGGCTCTTATCTTTGTCCGGTCAGTCACACTAATAGGTAATGTAGTGGAGGCAGTGATGCTCATTGTGTCTGATCAGCCTGTAAAGCTTTTCTATATGATGTGACCTCTGCTGAACCCTGGAGGGTGGGAGCTGGTGGATCATGGGCTAGCATGTGTTCTCATTCAGTGGATGACCAGAGGAGTTTTGTGTTTTACTTTAAATGCTAAACTTAGACTCCATGACCCAAGCGTGACCATAGGTTTGTACAGAACACTGAGCTGCTCTTTTAATGAACACCTGGCTTTTTGTATGAGGAGGTACTTTTATTACATATTGGTAGTTGATCATTTTTCTGAATTATCCATCTTCTTTTAGATTGCTGGGTCTCATATTGACCCACAGACAGTGGACTCAGTGTGTCCCAGTGTGTCTTATAGTGAACTACAGACAGTGGACTCAGTGTGTCTCATAAATCTGCCCTTTGGCATTTTCCTCCTCATCATTAATTCATTCAGTTTGTCCATCTTGCACACGCTCAGTAAACACCTTCAGTGTCTCAGCTCCCGCTGACAGAGAGAGGTTAAATGTCAGCAGCAGCTTGAAATCAGTGGAAAATCCATCACACTGCTTTACTTCTCTGTGTGTCTCTGTGGTGACAGCTGGGGGGGCAGATCCATTAACTCACAGTGTAATCCTACTCACCTGAAAGTAGAGGGCATGTTCACCAAGTTTCAGACAACACGAAGAAAGGTGCTGGGTTAAAAACCTGTTCAGACTGACCGAGTCAGCTGCAGCCGTGCAGCAGCTGCAGTGTGTCCAGAGGGATCTGAACGTGTCCCAACATGATATTCTGCTCCTCAGAGGAAGCCAGTCTGCTCACCGCTCCTACACAACACCACAATACTGCAGAGAGACACAAACACCAGACATGATGAACCATGTGTTACATTTTCAAAGAAATCAAGCTCAAATGATTGGAATTAACATGAATTCAATTTAATGCGTCCCACTTGGCCTAATCTTAAATACCCACAGTCTCCACTGCCTCACTGACAAGTTCCTGTTGCTCATTATTGAGCTAAGTTACTGTATAACGAGTGTAGTTGCATTTTACAAAGTTTACACACGATGGTGACTTAGGCCCTGTCTATAGGCATACAGATATTTTTGTAAATGCATATTTTCTTCTGCATTTTGGCCTCTCGTCCACACACAAATGGAGCTTTAGGTCCCTAAAACTGAGATTTTGTCAAACCCTGTTTAAGGTGCAGATTTTTTAAAACTCCAGTCACTGTTTATCTGTGTGGACATGTAGTATCTTTGTGACAAGGTGGACTGCTGAAGACAGCTAACACCCAGGCCACACTGCAGTGCTGCTCAGGCGAAGCTCAGCAGAACATCTAGAGCAGTGGTTCCCAACTGGTGCAGCCACAGGTTCCAGATTTCACCTTAGCCATTAGTTCAAGGTCCACACAGTTTGATATATTCAGCGTCATACTTGTGTTCAGCCATGTTGTTGAGATAGTTTGCTGTCTCTGTTAAGTAGCTGTCTGTTACATTCAGTCATTCAGTCTACAGCAGGATTGAGCACTGAATGGACCTGCAACCCACTTTTGGACCCTGACCCCCCAGTTTGGAACCACTGATCTAGAGAATTTGAGTCTTGACTATTTTTCTCTGAGTGGCGTTCGTGATTTTTAGCAAAAAACAAACAAACAAACAAACAAAGGCAGTGCAAATGGTCTTTTGACACTCATATTAGCATTGTACCACCTGCAGTTTCATGGCAGGTGGTACAATGGCAGTTTCAATGTTTATATCTGTCACAGACCTGAAAAAATATAAATATCTATTTTTAACTCAACTTTTCCTGTTTCCATTTCAAAATAAAAGTCGTCTGACAAAGTTTCTGTGGACACAATCTCTTCATTTGTTAATAAAAGGCCTTTTTTTGTGAAATTTTTGCATAACCTTGTTGTTGACAACGCGGTGGCTTGTACAGCTTCATATATTGATGGAAACATGGTAGATAAAGTACTCACAGCTGCAGGCAGCTCTGTCTGTGTGAACACCAGACACATGCCAGTGTTTGGAGTCATTTTCTACATCTGCACAGTAGTTTGAATTTCAAACATTAAGTAACAGCCCTCATGTGAACAGAGCTCAGAGGTTTGACCCTCAAAAAACATATAAAACAGCTCTTTGTGGAACTAGATGATTTTATTTCCTCTGGGTCCCTTAACAGGTTAATCTGGCTGTGACTTTCTTCTGGAGAGTTGCTGCATATGTTCATGTTTCCACTGCGGGCTTTGACTAATAACTGAAAGGACATTTTCTCTGTTGTCTCTGATATTAAACTTTTAATGGTCAAAACAAATAAGATGGACAGCGTTCATGTAAACCTCAGCAACCTGTCGTCCTCACAGAGTTTTGCACATTCTCCAATATGTAATGCTGCAACATTTTCATCTTTAAGGTTTCTGACACCCGAATTCAGACAACAGTCTCCACGGTCATGGAAAACCTGGAAAAGTCATGAAACTTCACAGTCTCATTTTTCAGTCCTGGAAAAGTCATGGAATTGGTAAAAATAATTTAAAGTTTTGGAAAACTTTGGAACTTTGTTGTTTGTAATGAAATTAATTGGCATAATAATTTTCTGGGGATAACATTCAACATAATGTAACATAACAGCAAATTTATTTTCTTTAAGTTACTGTAACATATAGTTTAAGTACCGACATATCAATGCATAGTTGTCGCATCAAAGGATGTGCAATGTGAAGTAAGACAAATTAACTCCAGCAACTTATTTGATGTTTGATACAAGTGGGAAACTTGTACGGTTCTCATTTTCCATGACTTATACCGGCCAAGTCTGTCACTTTTAGATGTTACGTGTAAATGTGGCATAGTTTAATGGTGTTTGTTATGGGAAACAAGACTCTCCTTCATGTGTGTGGAAACTATTGTAACCAGGCCGGCAAGGGTGAGCACCCTGTAGACAGTCATGTGTATTTATGTACGGTGTCAGTTATTTTGGGATGAAAGGTGCATTTAGCTGGGTTGTTGTTTTTCGTTTTTGTTTTTTTTTTTTTTGCTCGCATTGATGTTTGTCTGTAAAACACCTCAAAGGTCAAAACGTTGCCTCATTACGTTTCCTTCTGAAGCCAAATATAAACTGTGCAGAGGTTCAGATCATCATCAGTGAGCTAGAGCACATGTGGAGTGCTATAATAACCTAACAGTGTACATAGGAGACACATCAGATCCTGTCACGTCACATTCTGATTTTGTCATATCACATACAGTAGTTTTCCACCCTGTCACAACAGATCTGTCCGTTCTATCCACGTGTTAGTTTTATCTTCTTGTTGATTTTCTTCTGTTATTTAAATCTAGTTTTAAATAACATTTTTATTCTGAATGATACTGAATGATGACAGTATACTGTGTCTGCTCTATTTATTTTTTAATCTAAGTTGCCAGATGTCATTAATTCTGCTGTATTGTTTTAGACACTTTCACTTTCATCCTGAACCTAATAATCATATGACCATAAATCACATCTTGACTTAAAATGTTGTTTTTCAGAGTTAAAAACACATGAAGAGGTTAGGATTAAACATAATCGTGGTGTAAACCAGGATCAGATGAGGACTTGTCTCTGATGTTGTCTTTGTGTCTCCTGCTGCAGGTTTAGATGGAAACTCGGAGGACATTGACAGAAGGAAACAGGAGTTTGGACAGAACCTCATCCCTCCTAAAAAGCCAAAAACCTTTGTGCAGTTAGTGTGGGAAGCCCTGCAGGATGTGACGCTAATCATCCTGGAGGTGGCAGCGATCATTTCACTAGGCCTTTCTTTCTACAGCCCGCCCGATGGTAACAGACAAAGTGAGTTTTAATGAAACTTTTACACCTTCAGATAAGTATCTGTACTTTTATCGTCATGAATCTGTGTGAAGGTGTCTCGCTGAATGTTTAGAGGGGCATTGTGGTGAGACATTTGCAGAGCTGTCAGATGATCAGACGGTCACAATGTGTTAACTGTTTTCTGTCGTAGCAACATCAGGCTTCAGTCAGTGCAGGGTTCTGGGACTTTGTGTCCTTTCTGTGTGACACTGATTCATGAAAGTTACACTGCAGTCCAGCTCACCTGCAGAGCAGCTGAGTCAGAGTGAAATATATCAACACACAGGTCAAGTCTCAGTTTTTACTTGTTAAGGTTGAAATACATGGGGCATGAAGGCGATCCATCAAGCCTCTTGTGGCATGCCTGCAGCAGAGAGCGTCCATTCTCATCAGCTGAGGCGGCTACAGTGATCACAGAGGCCACGGCAACATCATGCTGTTCTTCTCAGTTTTTACCTGGCTGGTCTTTTTTCTTTTGTCTTTGCAGCCCTTCAACAGGTAAAAACTATGTAGACAGCTGCTTTCACACAGCTGCACTGTAATCCCTCTGACAACCGAGCTTCCTCAAAAAGCAAAGCCTTTTTAAAAGCGGCTGTCATGTCAGGCTGTTGCTTCGGTGAACACTGGCAGAAGTGACAGCTAGCTTGTAGCTGCATACTGTAGCAAGACAACAGAATTCGCTGGAATTCCCAAAGATGTCTTATTTGGACAATTAACCATCTGGAGTTTGGTGGAAATGAAGAAAACTGGGCCTCAGATAACATTTAAATGTTTTTATTAATTATTATCTGAGGCCCAGTTTTTCTTCTGGTTGTCCTCATAACTTGCTAATGCTGTAACTCCAGGTGTTCTGAGACACCAACATTATTAACTCCTCCATCTTGTCTTCTCTCTGCTATCATGAAGCCCACTATTTGATCAGCCAAAGCCAGGCGGCATCCACCAAATGTTCAGCATGGTGAACTTGGTGCAGCAGAGCAGAATCTGTGTGTGTGCATGTGGGCGGCACCCACTTCATACCCCTAACGCTGTGTTGGAAACTGCTTTCCCTCTGCCGCCTTCACCTCATTGAAATAACTGGAAGTGGGTAGTTACTGCAAGGCGGTGTGAAAGCAGCTGAAGTGTGTCAAAAACAAGATCAATCGGTTGGAAATGATTGCAATATATATACCTAATTGTTTACATTATCACTTAGCAAACCTCAATATGCACTCAGTGCCATAAAAACCTCACTCCACTCCAGCCATGCCCCATGTGTTTCAGCTGTCCTTTCTGTCTGATACTGACAACACCAGATTTACACACAACCAGAGCAAAGTGTGCGTGCCAGTCGCTCCTTTCCTGAGACATGCACATGAAGTGGGTTCACTCAGGGCTTGTTTGTGTTGGACTCGCTCATATGAGACAACTGCCACAGGTTCATTTATGATTGTCACTGTGAACAGAGAAAAGAACTGTTTGCAGCGTAATTCATACATCTCACTTTTAAACCACAGAACTAGTAGCAAATAAAAGCTAAATTTCACTTTGATTTCTCAGTCTATATGCAGGGAGAAAAGCATACACACTTTCTGTTTCTGCAGATTTTATAAAACACTGCTTATAAGCCATTTAATTTCAAGGAACCAGCTTATCTCCAAGATGCAAAGCTGCAAAGCAGGAAATCACTGGGCCCAGCTGAGGCTTCTGTGTCAAGTCATTGAAAAGTTAGAGAGACTTGTTCTTTAACCCCAGAATCCTCCTGCACAGGAGGGTCAGAGGTCACTTCCTGTCAGGCTGCACTGTTTGAATGTGTAAAGGAACACACATTCAGAAAACTAACACCCCGGCCTATGTTGTCTCTGTTCAGATTGTGGCTCAGCAGCTGGCGGCGTGGAGGATGAGAGTGAGGCGGAGACTGGATGGATCGAAGGCGCTGCCATCCTGCTCTCGGTGGTCTGTGTGGTCCTGGTTACAGCCTTTAATGACTGGAGCAAAGAGAAGCAGTTCCGCGGCCTCCAGAGCCGTATAGAGCAGGAGCAGAAGTTCACCGTGGTCCGAGGGGGTCAGGTGACCCAGATCAAAGTGTCAGAGATCGTCGTCGGAGACATCGCACAAGTTAAATATGGTGAGTGAACAAAAAGTAAACGCTTATCCAGAGCAGAGTTTACCTTTGGTTGAGAGTGATGACAAGAGCTGAATATCAACTTTTGGTACTTTTCTGGTTCTGACTGAAATGTGTCCATAACACAGAGGATCAAACAGCTAAAATTAATGTTTGCCGCCGGCCAGGTTAATGTTAAATACTTCAATGATGTTGAAACGGGAGCTTTACTAACCTCTCGGAATTCTTCATAAAGTCCGGGGTGTCAGTTCTTAAGATGCTTTGCCAAGTTTGTTGTGCTGCTCAGGTTTGTTGCCAACACTTTGTAGCATTGTTTGCATACAGGTATATCAGCATCTTGAGTTTTTACCTGGTCATTTTCCTGGTATGCAAAATACCTCCAAATGGCACTTCTGCTTTTTTTTTTTTACTTTGGACTAAAACTGGTCACAAAGACCCTAAAGCAGCAGCACTTACCATGTTAAGTCAGTTTTATGCTGACGACAGCCCAGCTGTTGGTGTTGTGTATGACAGCTAATGTATTGAGCTGATGGTGAGGGGAGGGGCTGTGTGCCCGCCTGTCTAAAGCGGTGATGTGTTTGTAGTTGTGTGTCAGTGAGGGGGTGAAGAAGGCACTGTTGGTATCAACCTGTTGCAAATGAGTATTGTATCCAATGCAAAGTTTTAGTATTGATTAGTATCTGAGAATAGATTTTTTTGACACCCCTAGCTGTGTATGTGTGTGTGTGTGTGTGTGTGTGTGTGTGAGACAGATACAATACACAGTAGAGAATCTCAGCTTAGGTTTTTTTTTTCATGGCTATTTTGGAATAAAAATGTACCCACCATTGTGGCAGACAGCCTTCCTTCTCACTGAAGAATCTCCCTGCATTTGGTGCTCGGCAGGTGTTAATTTCGGACTCCGTCCATATATTGTAAAATAGGGTGATAGTGTAATTATTGTGACAGGCCTACACTCAACATTGTGTCTGTGGTGGTCAACACTTTACAGTTTAGTGACTTAGAAAACAGTTTGATGTTAATGACCACAGCAGAATGTTGATGTTGTCTGTGGGGCTGTACCTGACCTGGATTACATACGAATCAGAATCAACCATTTAATACAAATATTCAATTTATTTCTTCCCATATTAAGTCTCACAGTTTGACATCAGTGGGATGTTAAGTGTGACGGCAGCATTCACCTAATACAGTAAACAAGGTAACAGCACAAACGACGGATCAGAAATGTACAACATTTTTTGCCAACACGAGATATCAAACAAAAGCCAGAGACTGTATTGTATTAAATTGCTGTGAGCTGTAAATTCACCACTTCCAAGCATTTGGGAGAAGATAATGTTATTTTGAAGCCTTATGGTTGAATGTTTCTGCTCCTCTGTGCTGCTGCATTGTGTCCGCAGCTATCTGTGCCAAAGAGGAGTGTTCTGATGATAATGAACCAATTTTTCTTTGTTCACTTCCCAACATCACTATTTCATAATCACAAGAAAACAAAACTTAAAATATTTCCACCCTCCTCTGCTTAATTAGTTGTTTTTCTCCTCCAGTCGCCACATGACAGACTTGATGTAATGACAATGTAACATAACGACCTGATGAGGGCGAGCTGCTTTTACAGTGTACTGTGTTGGTGTCACAGGTGACCTCCTCCCTACTGACGGCATCCTGATTCAAGCAAATGATCTCAAGATTGATGAGAGCTCTCTGACTGGAGAGTCGGATCATGTCAAGAAGAGCGTCGACAAAGACCCCATGTTGCTGTCAGGTGAGTCAACTCTCCTCCATTCACGTCAAATTACAGCCAAGTTCGGTGTGACCTGAGCTGTCACTGTCAGCTCTGCAGCCACTCTCTGTACTGTCAACAGGGTACTGTCTGTAGCTCTGGTTGAGGGTGAGAGGCTGTCAGCAGATAAACAGAGATCTGTGTGGGTACATGAGACCCTAAAAAAGAGGCTGGATCATGGGGAGTACCACCAGTTGGTCCAGGAGCTTCTCCTCCATCATGGACGTTTACAGGCATATTTTAGGATGACTCAGGGGCAGTTTGACAACCTGCTGTCTATCATCAGGCCGTATAGCTCTGGGTATCCAACAACCACTACCACCAGTTTCTCCTCCATTGTTTACGAACCGTAAACTTGTTGTTGTGACCACCACAGAAGGCCCGCCTCTCAAATCATCCCACTGGACTCTGGGAAAAAGATGACCAAATAAGAGATGGCGTGGGGCACTTTTTTTTTTTCAACATGAGGAGTTCAGAGCACTCAGGCAAAAACAGCAGGCACCTAGAGTGCAGAAACGCGAGGTGCGTCACAACACAAAAAGCTTCATTGTCATTAAAATACAAAAAAGTGCCTCCAGCTGCTAAAATGCTTTCTGTGTGATCGTGGGCCTTAAAAAGTTTTAAAAAGCATATTTCCGTTGTGTTTTGCTGTTAGTTAGTGGATGTAACTTCAGTTGTATTGAGTATGAGACCTTCAAGGAGAGGAAGAAGTGAGATGGGTAATAGCTATCAACACTGAGGACTGCTGCACTGGTGAGCGAACGGACTCAGACATGTGTGCTGAACATAAGACAGCAGATAACTACTGAAGTCACAATCCACTAAAGGTTCAAATGCACCCAGTATTTTTACTGGATAGGGAAGTTGCTGGATGAAACCTCAGCTGTGTGAGTCTGAGAACAGGGAGGACAAGGAGAGGGAGTGAGACTGCGCCTGAACACAGCAGGATATGTGATTAGATGATCATAGTTTTTGAAAATGCAGCACAATGACAATACAGACAGTTCATATACCAGACACATATGACACAGACCTGCCTGTGCATTTAATCAGCACTGGACTCATCTATGAATCAGCTGTCACTCTGTTTGTCAGCTGAGAGACTTTACTCTGCATCATTGAATCACATGAATGTAACCATGAGAAAATTTCACACACTCAGAGAAAACACATATGCAGCCACATAGTCTAGAGCCGTGACATGCAACAAGGCGACAAGGTGACAAAAGTTTTGACTAAGGTCCATCATTTGCCTCTTTATCTGCTTTCTTTATCCACAGCGGTCTTCCTGTGTGCTCACAGTAGATCTGTCCAAAGCTCCTAAAATCCCTCTCTCTGTCTTTCTCTTTCAGGTACTCATGTCATGGAGGGCTCTGGCAAGATGCTGGTTACAGCCGTAGGTGTCAACTCTCAGACTGGAATCATCTTCACGCTGCTTGGTGCCAGTGAGGAAGGCGACGGGGAGAAAAAGGACAAGAAGAGTAAGTTTAGAATATAAAAGGGATCATGGGATGCTGCTAACCAGTCCTCATCTTAATTTACAGTTCAGGGCTTCAGTAGACAAGTGTAAGTTGACAATTCATAGACAGACAGAACTGAGAAATATCCCTCAACCTGTGAAGATGGAGTTCCTATTTCACTCCAACAAATTTGTGTGTCCGTCCTTTAAGGTAAACCTCTGAGTGCCAGTCCACATCAACATTGTTTTTTAAAGTGGTGTTTTTTTTGTTTATTTTTTTTTTATCAATGTCTGTCTCACACAGCAGATACACCTCACAAGGACATAAATAGATACAGATTAATAGAAAAAGCTAAAAATCAATAATGAGGTATATAAAAACTTACTTTTAAGAAGCTGAAAGTAAAATGTAGAAACTATTCAAGAACAATTAAAGACAAAATTAGAAGGTAAAGTGACAGTGGTGTGATTGATATTTAATATCTGAGTATTTCTAAACAGTGTAAACCAGATTAATATATAAAGAATAATCAATGATTCAGCTGCTGCGAGCTGCCCAGCACACACAGTCTCGAAGTATCATGGGACTGATGAAGTCCTGCCCACTGACTGTGTTTAAACAGTTGAACTGAAATGGACCGCGTTAATAGTCTCTTTATCCAATGATGGGCTTTTCATGCTGTGTGTTCTGAGAGTGGAAGTAGGCAAAGGAACTGGGAACATCGTCAGGCGGTGGAAGGAGCACTTTGAGAACCTCCTGAAGATTCGAGGGAACTGTCGCCCATATCCCTGGCGGAGGTCGCTGAGGTAGTTAAAAAGCTCCCCAGTGGCAAGGCGCTGGGTGTGGAAGAGATTCACCCTGAGATGCTGAAGGTTCTGGGCACTGTTGGGCTGTCTTGGCTGACACGCCTGTTCACTGTTGCGTGGAGGTCGGGTATGGTGCCTGCAGAGTGGCAGACCAGGGTGGTGGTCCCCATCTTCAAAAAAGGGGACCAGAGGGTGTGCTCCAACTATCAGGTATCACACTGCTCAGCCTCCCGGGTAAAGTTTACTCCAGGGTGCTGGAAAGGAGGCTCCGACCGATTGTCGAACCTCAGATTCAGGAGGAGCAATGCGGATTCTGTCCTGGTCGTGGAACAGTGGACCAGCTCTTTACCCTTGCAAGGCTGCTGGAGGGGGCGTGGGAGTTTGCCTTTGGGGTTGCATTTTTGATGTATGAAAGGCACTATATGAATAAAGTTTGATTGATTGATTGATCCAGTCTACATGTGCTTTGTGGACCTGGAGAAGGCTTACGACCAAGTCCCTCAGGGGGTCTTGTGGGGGGTACTACGGGAGTATGGGGTTCCAGGCTCGCTGCTACAAGCCATTCGGTCCCTGTATGACCAAAGTGAGAGCTGTGTCTGCATACTCGGTGTGAAGTCAACCACGTTCTCGGTGGGTGTTGGCCTCCGCCAAGGTTGTCCCTTGTCACCAATCTTGTTTGTGATCTTCATGGACAGGATCTCGAGGCGCAGGGTCTTGTTCACAAGTGAGGGTAGAATGGAGCGTGAGATGGATCGGCGGGTCGGTGCGGCTTCTGCAGTGATGCGGACGCTGCACCGGTCCGTCGTGGTGAAGAGGGAGCTGAGCCAGAAAGCAAAGCTTTCAATTTACTGGTCCATCTACGTCCCAACCCTCACCTATGGTCATGAGCTCTGGGTAGTGACTGAAAGAATGAGATCGAGGATACAAGCGATGGAAATGAGTTTCCTCCGTGGGGTGTCTGGGCTCAGCCTTAGAGATAGGGGGAGGAGCTCAGACATCCGGAGGGAGCTCAGAATAGAGCCGCTGCTCCTTCGCGTCGAAAGGGGTCAGTTGAGGTGGTTCAGGCATCTGATCAGGATCCTCCTGGGTGCCTCCCGCTGGAGGTGTTCCAGGCACGTCCCACTGGTAGGTGGCCCCGGGGCAGACCCAGAACACACTGGAGGGATTACATATCTCGTCTGGCCTGGGAACACCTTGGGGTCCCCCAGGAGGAGCTGGAAAGTGTTGCTGGGGAGAGGGATGTCTGGGGTGCTTTGCTTGGCCTGCTGCCCCTGCGACCCGGCCCCGGATAAGCAGATGAAAATGGATGGATGGATGGATGGATGGTAAATATGGAGGAATTAATAATTTCAGTGCAGAGCTACTCAGAGCTTTACATCTGTCCCAAAGACAATATTTTTGACCTAATACACAGTCACAAAACAAAGCTTGAAAGAAGATCAGCTCTGCACTCAGGATTTCTAGGAAGTAGGCTGTGATATGGTGCTGGTTAGCAACTTCAGATGCAACCTGCCTTCGCGTCCTTGAAAGCTGGCACAAAGTAGTAACAGCCAGCGCCCGACCTCTCATTTTCCAGGTGGTTAAAGACACAGCATATGTACAGCCCCTTCTTACGGTTCTCTACTAAGCCTACTGACAAAAACTGTTGCTACCACTGAGAAACTGAGCGAAATCACAGCATAAACTTGTTATAATAGATGATAAAAACTTGACTGTATGCTGCTGAGCATGTAAAGCATATCCCTGAAGCTATTTAGGAACAACACACTTGTACTAGCGTGGTTGATCCTGTTGCTAGGTATGATGAATTATTTTGTAAGATGTGATTGGTGGTGCCTGCATGGTGTGGACAACCAGTGGAAATGATGAAACTGCATCACAATATGAGACATGGTTTGTTTGATCACTCTGCTGATGGAAGGTTGACACAGACCCAAGTCATCATAGCTGCGTGTTGCATTTATTCAAATATCTTAGTGTCCCGATCACTTTACTTCTGGTGTTATAGCATTATTACTTTGGGTGGGAGATGTGAGCGCAGCACTAATGAGATCAACCACAAACATTATCCCTGCACCATCTAATCTGTAGCTTTTCATTTACTCAGTCATTCAGTGTTTGGAGAATATTTCTCTGACCTCTCTGTCTTTCTGCCATTTTCTCCTCTGATTAAGAAACTCTTAAGCCTCTTAAGTCCTCCTCCCTGCTCCTAACAGTTTTTCTTACGAGCTCTCTTACGGGTTGAGATGCTGTGTGAACAACTTTTATCTTTACCATGACGTAGTCTTAACTTTAAGGGAAAATTCTTAGAAAACGTCATGATTCTGAGAATTCTTATAGAATTTCTTCACTAGGAGCAACTCGTAGTGCCAGGAAGCTTTGTGCATACGGCCCCTGATGTTTTGCTGGACTAACTTACTTTATCAAGTTTTGAACTTGAGGTTAATGAAAACAAGTCTGTGATTCTGATGAGATAAGTCATTGTGGTCTTTGGCAAGTTGTGGAGAGACTTTGAAAAAAATCATATATATGCGATATGGCTTAAAAGTAACACTGCAAAATTTTAAGGCTATATCACAGTACACAATTTGTATCTCAGTATTTTGAAAACTCTTCTTAAATAGTGTAGACTACTAAAACACAAAACTATTAAATGAACTACAGTTACAATAAAGCAAAATAAGTAAGGAAGCTACTGTCATGATAAAGTTAAATAAAATACTGCTAATAAAGTTAAAGTATTGTTATAATTAAAGAAATCAAAGCAGAATCACTGGTGCTTTTATTTTGAAGCACCGGGCTCATCTCAACCAGAAGTGTTGATGTTCTTGAAGCTTCTGGTCAACACTTGGGTTTTAGCAGTTAGCACAAAGTTACACTGTTGCTGCTGTACCTTAAATGTGAGGATTTATTCACTGTGAACAGGAAGCACACTATATGTGCCAGTCACAGTGGTGCTCCAGGGTCACATAATGTGACTGAATAGTAGAGTTTTACTGATACCGATACCAGTATAGAAAATGCCTCCGATACTGCCTAAAATGCGGTCACAATCAGGTGGGGATCTCCTTTAATGTTTTCTTGATGTTGTGTTCCATATGTGCGACTGACTAATGGCTGTTTCTTGCTTTTCCTTTATAGGTAAAAAAGACGAGAAAGGAAAGAAAGGTGAGCTTCACTGCTTCAGTACCGTGAGTTACCTAATATGACTCTGAGTGGATGTGAGGGTTGAATTAAACAGCAGCAGCTTCAGTTCATCTGTCCATCAGTGACCAGAGGCCAGCTCGTTCAGCTGGTCACTGTGTGCTCTGGCTCCTGGTTTCCTCATGGTGGTCCTGAGCTGTGGAACAGCAGCTTTGTGACATTAGTTTCATCCATGGAGCTGCCCTCTTGTTCATGTTTTTGTTCATGTGTCATGTTGTTGGCTGTATGAATGGTATGTGTATGTGTTTTACGGTGTTGTGTGTGTGAAGTGCGTAGTAGCCATCAGGCGGTCACAGGGAGGAGTGGAGGGAAAAGGTAGATTCTTGAACGCATCACGATTTTCCCTTGAAAGTCTATAATCCTACATTTACCACCTAATTCACAACATTATGATTGCCTGTATGATTTTGTAAGTCCCGCCCCTTTGCGCTCTGTGCTCCAATAACAGTTAAGCAAGCTTTGAACATGGCAGAACCTCGGCCAACTTTCCTCTATCTTGTTGCATGTCGATATGCTATGTGCTCAACTCGTCTATGTTCAGAGGAGGACTGTCACAGTCTTTTTAGACACATTACAGTCTATATAGTCACAACCTCAGTTAGCTAATGTTAGAGAAACATATAGCTACATCAGAGGGATTAATGTTAGTCTAATGTCATAACAACAACATCGGTCAGGTTTGCTTTTCCCTTATTTCTGTGGTAACGTTAAAGAGGTTTGAAAAGGATAGGTAGGTTGGTTGCTGACATAATTTTAAGATGACAAGAATCATCGTAGTAAAGAGAGACTAACATCAGGTCAGCACTAGATATGTCAATGATTAACCGCTGATTGGCTGACCACAGAGAATCTTTTTGACCGGTTACACATGTCCGTCTATGGGTTAATTTTACTATTCTTCAGTTTACTGCGCTGCTCACACCAAAGTCTGGTGGGAGCAAGCTAGCGTCAGCGGTGGTGCTGCTTATTCGGCCATTACAGCTAGTAACGCCGTCTCAACCCCTGTGGAAACATTGCGGCCACACCCCCGCTCTCCCACCCTCACGCCCTCACTCGTTGGCTGTTTGATACAGAGATATTTATTCAAAATAGTTTGGAAAATATTATGGTGTATACTTCATAACAGGACAGGACATTTCTGTTTTGTACAGTGGATCATTTGGAGAGGTTTTTGTTTTTGCACTTTATAATTTGATCACCTTTGCTGTTGCTTTCTAGTGTTTCAAACCAGTACAGGCTGGGCACCATGTGAATCAGGACAATCGATAGATCAATAAAAAATCTATTTTGCTTTACAAGAGGAGGTTCTGATCAAAGATCCTGCAGGAGAGCAGGGACCAGAGTTTCCTGGTCCCTGGCAGGTCTTCCCAGTTCCTTGCGGTCCCTGTGGTCCCACATGGTGCAGTGTGTGTCCCATGGTCTGAGCAGCAGCAGCAGGTGCTCCTGACTCTGTTGATGGTGATTAGGACCAAGCAGATTATCGGCCTTAAGCTCGGCAGCTGCTTTCTTCTCCTGCCTGCTGCTGCTGCCTGCCTGTCCACTAATAACCTCATTACTGAGCTGGGATCAGCATGCTCACACCAGACACACACAGAAACAAACACACACACCTGCAGATACCCTCACTCTCTGTCACTGAGCCGCAGTGTCAGTTGACTCTGACAGGGCTGTTTATTAATGATCTAGAGGGGACAGAGATGATGTGGTGTGGCTGGTTAGTTAGCTGGTGAGTTTGTTAGTGAGCTCGGCTCTGACTCATACATGAAGGCAACCAACACAGCACAACAAACCCAGACTGGGATTACACACACACCACCTACCTGTTCACACACAACATCACAGCCCCACCCTCCACTGGTCGTCCTGTCACACACTCTGACTTTTAATAATGGCTAACAGTACTGCTGATTTGGCCTGATGAAAATGTCAACTGGTTGTTGACATGTCTGTCCATGTGTGATGGACAAGTGGACAGTATGACCCACACGCTAAAGACATTTACATGCACAGATTATTATGGTTTTCACCCTCACTCTGAAAAGACAGTATTCCTACTGAGCTTGTAATGTAAATAAATACCCACTGATATTCCTGTTTACATGCAGCTGTGCAGACTCCAATTAACGTGCTCTAACATGTTGTTTATCACGTCAAAATATGGTCTGGTGCTGCAGCTGGAGCAGCTGGTGCCATTTTTGCTTCTTTGCATCACAATAGGATTTTTTCAGATTGAACTTGTTGGACTGTGTGAACACACCTCTTTCGTTCCTTGAAATACCTTCTTGAAAAGGTCGGCGTTGCAATATTTGCCTATACCCATGAACCTGTTGATATCAAAGTCCTCAATAATGTTGAAAGCAGTCCTCACTAAGTTGGGCTTATTTTAAGGGCATGCATCTCTGCCCCAGCCTTGCAAAATGTTGGCAACTTGGTTTGTGTACAGCATATCATGAGCTGAATGTAAACAGGCAAGAGATCATGTGTCACAAACTGCAGTAAAAACCCCCAATGAGATGTATATTTGGAATGTGCTGTATACATCTCCATAGAATGCTCCTAAAACCAGAATAATATCAGCATATCCCACGTGTCTAAAGCTGAAAACACACCGGCTCATCAACCGACAACCAGGCGAAGTTATTACTACTTTTACTGAAAGATCTGCACTTCCTCCACCTCTGCATCAGCTTCAAATCATGTGTAGACAGCCACTTATTAAACTTGATTTCTCACCTGAAGATCTCCAGAGCCATGACACGCCAGGAAGTATTTTTTTTGGTCATTGTCTTCATAATGATGGGATTATGGGTCATTTGGCTCAGGATATTTTTCAACCTCAACGATAAGTCTCTCCTCGTCCATTCTTTGTCACACACGAGACACAGCAACAGCCACAGAGTTCTCTTTATACATCAGTGGTGAGGAAAGGTGTCGAGGTGCTACAAGAGCAGAGAAAAAGAGCTGGTCTGTACAAGCAGAGAGCAAGTGGGGGGAAAATGCATTTAATTCCAAGGGCGCAGAGGCTGGAAATAGGACAGTGGGTCGACACACATCAAGTCACCGCTGGTGTGGGGCTGTACGTTGAAAATAATAGGGGCGTATTTTTTAACACACAGCGTTTGGCGCTAGTGTATTTTGGTCTTCAAAAGGAAAATACTAAATTCAGAGCACCATGAATCAAATTCAGAATATAGTCGCATCCAGAACAGGGCTGCAGGATTATTGCCAAAATGACAATCATGATTGTTTTGCTCTTATGATTGTTTGAGTTGATGCTGGACAAGGACGAGGATTAATGGTACAGAAATGTTAGTGATGTCATTCTTCTTGGCCTTCATGCGTTCATCATACAGCAAATTGTTGTGTTTTTCAAGTGGTTTAGCAAGATAGCTGTGTTGCATTGCAGCGCAGACATGTCTCATGCACTCTTTGCATATTATTTTTTTCTCTTCTAAGTCCAAACAACAGATGATGATGGTTGATGTTGTTTGTTTGGCCGTCTGCAGGAAGTTTTTTACAGCTTTGCTGGTGCAGAGTGCACGTGTAGCAGCACGACAGCTCATCAAAGGCTTGTTGTTAGTTCAGGGAGTTCTTGATTTTATATACAGCAGAGTTTCTATGAGGGAGCACACATTTTAAAGGTCAAGGTCATGGTCGATCATCTTCATTTAATTGTGGGAAGCCAAAATCGTGATTATGATTAATATTTGATTAATTGTGCAGTCCTAGTTTGGATTAATGGAATATTAGTATGTATGTAGGAGTAGTCACTGACGTCATCATCTTCAGGTCCTGCTGTGTGATTCTTAGAAAAAGTGTACTAAATGTTGATGAAAGAAATTTTAGTGTACCGTAATTTATGATCGGACAGGAGGATGTTAATTTTTGGGCTGCTGTGGTTGCTGAGATAGTTGACAGTGCCTCCCTGTTTGCTAATTCGCTTCTGTTTTAATTTGCTGTTGATACAAACTCCACACACAGGGTTCACATGTTGTCCTGATAAATTCAAGATAATGTACATTTCCAGAGTGTAACACTAATCAGGAACAGAGTCATGTCATTCTCACCACTTTCTCTGTTTAACACAAAAACGTCTGTCAATCACTGATTCAAGCTGATTCTACAGTTCAGATTTTTCAATTTTCATCAGGTCACCATCAGTGAAATCAACTCTTCCTGCAAAGCTTTCACACTGAAAGCTAGAGAGCTAGAGAATGCAATGTCTAAAGAAGTTGCAGGTGTGACTGCTGCATGTTAAAAAGCTGACACTACACTGCAGAATGTTGAATAATACCATTAATGTATGACTGATGTGGAATATTTTAAGATTTACAGTCTCAGTTAACCCTGAGTGTGATGCGACAGTCAAGTTTAATTCACTTTAAGGGTCACTGTGTCAAATATGTAAGTGTGATTGCTTCCGCAGCAGCATTGTTAAAAACAGCACAAGTTTTACTCCATTTTGACCAAAAATAATGTATGCAGAGTGAAAATTGTGGGCGTGACAGCGAGTTAAAGAGAGGCTGTTTAAGAGGCTCTCTGCACTCTGACAGTTGAGTCCTCCACTTAGGCTCTGAACGTTCATCCAATACAAACCAATATAAAAACCTGAGAAGGGCATTTTTACCAAGCTCCAAACAAGTCTGAATATTTCAGAAAGTTTGCACACTTGTCCTAATTGAGCTGAATATTTGATGTTTAAAGGAGGTTTCTATGTTGAAAAATGTGGCGGGAGTAGCGTGACAAAAGGGTGGGCAGAATTTTTACGTAGAATAACACAGGGTTTGGAGCTTTGCAGAATTCGCACCCAGTAATCCTTATTAAGCTTTTCATGTGAAACATCTGCAGGAAGTGTTGATTTTATTGACAGATCTTAACAGTGATTGGAACAATTTCTTCTACTCTTCTTTTACCATGTTTTTACCAGACTCTGTCATTATTTGAATACTGGCTTGAATTTAAGACGGTATGATTGACCTTTATAAATAACATTGACTTGACTTTACGTATCAGCAGCAGGAGTTTTGATGGTTTGTGTCCAGATACCTGAATGTTTTACTGACCTTATGTGTCCTCTGTAGGCAAAAAGAAAGAGGAACCCACGGTGGAGATGCAGCCGCTCAATGATGACGGAGAACCAGAGAAGAAGAAAAACCTACCAAAGAAAGAGAAGTCGGTCCTCCAGGGGAAGCTGACCAAACTGGCTGTGCAGATTGGCAAAGCAGGTACAAAGAGTATCAGAGGAATGATGAATGTCACATCATCTGAGGGTTGAACACCACCTTCCTGTTGGGTGGAGTCCACAGTCCTGAGTTCCTCCAAAATGACATAATCCACTATACATTTTTTTGTAAAGGTGAACCCACCACATCTATGAGCTCCTGTAACTCACCTCCATCTCGCTCAGTGCTTTTTGTGTTGGTGTGTGTAAACATGGTGTATTACTGCTTACACCGTGATGTGGGCTGATCTATTGGACCCAATATGTGTTTGTACTGACTAGAGCCAGTATCTATCAAGCATCTCATGGAAGGAAATCAGTCCCACGACAGATATGTAGTCCTGCTTTCAGCCGTTCAGTTCCAGAGGAGTCCTAACTCTTTAGGAGTTGCAGAAGAGAAAAAGCCGATTAAAAGAAACTGTTGTGACTGATCTTTCAAAGAAAATTCAGCTTTGCAACAGTGATGATTCTGTCACAGCTGGACAGTCAATCTTTGATTACGTTTATGATGCAGATTTATTCATTTCTAGATTTATTAACAGATTCATGCAACTTTGGTATTCATCTATTTCTGAACTTATTTCAGTTTGGTTCAACAGTGAGGAGATATCTTTACAAACAAATGAAATTTTCCCCACCTATAAGGACACTTATAAAACACTTAAAAAAAGGTGTAGTTAAAAGGTGAAGTGGACAGTGGAAGAGAAGACTCCATGTTCTCTGTGAAACAGTGACCACAGTCCACAGAGGGTTTGTGACATTGGTCCAGTGTGGTGCAGTGCATTCTGGTCGTAGAAGGCTTTTTACCTCTCGAGCAAACACAAATACTACAGCTGGGGAGGGACCGCTGCTTTCAGTTTACAACTTTTGATACATGTCTTCAGACCAGCTTAGAAAACATCACCTCATTTCTCTTACAGTCTGCCCATTTGTCCCAGTGCTGCACGTGTGTCCTTGCTTTAGTTCTTAGATCAAAGATCAGTTTTTCCATAGAATATAGTTCCTCTTAAATGTCCGTCCACTGTCCTGGACTTTGAGGGTCATGTTTAAGCTGCTTCCTAGTTACGGCTTTTTTGCATGCCAGTATACGGATTTTTTTCCACAGATAAGTGTCCTTCTTATAAATAATGTCCTCAGGTCCTTATTTCACTTACACAATCCGTGGGTCCCTGAGGATCTTGAAATCTAAAATTCCCTCAAGGATCAGAATAATCTTAACCCAGAATGTTTGTAGTTTTATACATGACCAGAATATGACTGGTTTAAGTTTTAGGTCAACTCTCAGCAGGATGCTGAAGCATGAGTGTGATCCACCTGATAAATACAGGCCCAGAACACTCCTCACTTCGCTGCACTGTACACAACACGTGTTGTGCTGATGATCAGGTTTACAGCTGAACTAAACTGACTGAATGTCTCTGCTTCTCTTTGTCTGTCTGTCTCTTCCTGTCATCAGGTCTGTTCATGTCGACCCTCACTGTCATCATCCTCATTACTCGCTTCCTGATCGATACCTTCTGGATTCAGGGAGTCCCGTTTACCAATGAGTGTCTGCCCATCTATGTGCAGTTCTTGGTGAAGTTCTTCATCATCGGTGTGACGGTGCTGGTGGTGGCGGTGCCTGAAGGTCTTCCTCTGGCCGTCACCATCTCCCTGGCCTACTCCGTAAAGGTCTGTTTGTATATACAGCATTTAGGGTTGTCAAAAGTATCGATACTCTGAAAAGTATCGATATTCAAACGCTGTATCCGGATACAATACTAATTTACAAAAGTATCAATACTAACAGTGCACACCACCTCAGAGCCTGTCGGGTGCAAGAGACGGGTCCGAAAGACACGCACTATGCAGGCAGCGTCTGGCAGGCACAGAGCCCTCGCTGCAACCAGGCTTGTTGTCGTCGCTGTGCATGCATGCACACATTTCTGTTGCTGTAATATGGCCAGCGCGGCTGCAGGAGGATCAGAGCAGCCAGTTTTGGTCAAAAATGATAAAGGAAAAAGCGCTCTTTGGAAATATTTAGTGAAGTGAACACAGCATGTTGCAGATGGCAGGTACAGCCCCTCCCCTCACTAGCAGCTGAGCAGCTGGTGTCGCCAGCATCAAACTAAAATATAACTTCTAACGTTCATGTGGGAGCTAAGCAGAAAACTTAATCAGTCATGCTCGTCTGTAACATTAATAGACAATGTTAGTTTAACAGGACAACACAATTATGTGTGTCTGAAAAGTTATGTTAACTGTAAAGTCACAGATTGAAGCTGAAAAAACGTTTGGTTTCTCCCGTAACCCCTGGTTCTCTGATCAGAAACAGGAGCATCCTGAGCCTAAACTACCAACTCTATTTGATCAGCAACGAAAATATGGTGCCAATTCACCAGAAGCACAGTAAATAAACAGGGCTGTGGATAAATACATTTGTATGGACAGATCTTGTTTCTGGTTGTTATTTATTTTGGGGGGATTTTTTGTTGTTATCATTGATGTTACTGTTCTGATCTTTATTTAAAAAATTACATGCCTCTTAATTTTTTGCTGCTGTATTGAAAATGGTATCGAGTATTGAATATTTTCCTGGGTATCGATATCGAGTTTGAAATTTTAGTATCGTGACAACCCTAACAGCATTACACAGCCCGTCTCTCTGAATGTATACAGCTTGTCCACAGCCTGCCAGCCTGAACACCTTCAGTCTGGTCATGTTCTTTTCTTTTTCCTATTCTCTATATGATTTCATAAAAACTGACATTAGATTAGTCCAATCAAATCTGACATCTCATCTGATATGTCGAATAATAGTTCTGATGTTATTTAAATGTTACTTTAGCACTCAGTGGGTGTACAGTTTTTACATTATTGTTTAGTGCCGCCTTAGTCAGAACAGTGACCCTCTCTAAAAGTAGCAATAGGCCCATTTGACCCTCTCCAGATGATGCTGGATCAAACACCCTTCCTTCTGTAAATGTTTTAGTGAATTCCGAGTAAAGAGCTCAGACTCAGCTAACGCTGCTTTCCTCTTTTGTCAGAAAATGATGAAGGACAACAACCTGGTCCGCCACCTGGACGCCTGTGAAACAATGGGCAACGCCACGGCCATCTGCTCCGACAAGACGGGCACCCTCACTATGAACCGCATGACCGTGGTGCAGGCCTACATCTCAGGACGCTACTACAAAAAGTTGCCGCAACCAGAACAGATCCCTGCCACTGTTATGGACCTGCTCATCCGGGGCATCGGGGTCAACTGCGCCTATACCAGCAAGGTTATGGTGAGCTGTAAAAATAGCCGTCCATTCAGGAAGCTCTGTGAGTTAAGCATTTGGCAGAGAGAGCAGGTTGGTTTGGAGAACTGCCACAGCAGCTCAGGACTGATCACTGCCTCCTGGATCCACTGCACAGATCAGAGCAAAACAGTCATGATACAACATGGTTTAATTAGTCTGACGATTATTTTCTGGAGTAACTGATTAATTGTTTAGTGTAACAGTGGTTCCGAACCTGACGTTTGGGACCTTCTCAGGATCGACTGAAGCCCCGCTCAGACCAAAGATTCATGATGAGATCAAACCATTTTAGAACGTTACAGAGAAAAGTTGTGTGTGAACTGTCCGGTCTGAGCTTGACCTGATGGTGTCACCTGCGACTCTGCTTGTCAAGTTGCCAGGGGCTGGTTTAGAATGCAGGACACATCACCTGTTTTAACAGCCAATCAGCTTGTAAGGAAGTCAGCTGGCCAAGTCTGTTACAAACTGTCAGCGGACTGGGTGACAACAGTCCTTCATCCTCACCGAGTCCGTCTCATTTACATCCCCACAGCTGCTGACATGTCGGCCTTCGTCTTAATGGTGTGTCGTGTTGGACAGCAAGCGGTCGCTGACACTGGCTGTGTACATTATACACACACAGCCCGAGGCATTGACTGATTAATGTATTGGTTATTTAAATTATGGTGGTGTATTAATTATGAGTACTGTTCATCTGAGGCTCAGGCTGTTTCGGTAAGAAAAGTCTGACTTTTTTGAATCATCAGTTAATTACAGTCAGTGTATTACACACGGTAGATGTCAATTGGCACGTCCTCAGTATGGAGAAGCAGGCTTGAGTTTGACATGGGAGCTAAGCATTGTGCTGTATTTTAGCCACCTAAAAAGTCACACCTAAATAAATCAATACCAGTTTAAGTGTGTGCACTATATTGAGAGTTGTTCTTTTTTTTACTGTTTTACCTTTCTGTCAGACAGCCCATCCTGACAGGAAAGCTGTTAATGGCTTCAGTTCCAAATCTAGCTCACTGAGCACAGAAGCTGCTGGTCTACTGCTGCCTTGATCAGTTAGTTAGTTTTATGTTATTATGTGACTTTGGTGAATCTGATCGAACCCTTTCAAACCCAATTCACACAACTGAATAAACAAAATAACTGATTAAAGCAGCTCCTGTGTTCAGATATGTTAAATCACTGTTTTTCTCAATGGAGTCTGGCTTTGAAGAGAACAATGAAAGGGCTTCATTTTCCCGTTGCAAATCACTGTCTGACATCAAGATAAAGCAGTGAAATTATTTAAATATAGCATCACTTAAACTCATAAAGATCTTTTTAGGTGGGACTTTTTTTAGTCACCAAAATAGTTTTTGTACCCCATACAACCCCACTTCAAAAAATTGGAACTATTCCTTAAAGGACTTTGTTAGCAAGCACGTCACACATGAGAGATAATAGCTAGAATAAAGGATACTTTGCCAGATGGCTAAGCTGTTTGTTGTAGGTTTGTTACGTATATGCCAGTTTCCTTTGGTGTATCTGGCCCTCGACTTTTTGGGGGTCATTTTTTCAACATCCTTACAGTGAATCTGTGGGCCTGTCACATGTGGTCAAACTGTCCCAGTTTCAGTAGTGAATGACGTTAGGTGAGAGAGAGTCAGAGTGACAAAACAATCACTAAGTTTAAATGTCCCTGTCTGAGAATAGAACAGACAAGGGCAAAGAATAGCAAAAGAACTAAAAATAAATAATGTTGAATAAGTATGTCTTGATTTTTTGGGGATATTTGGTATTTTTTGGCTATTGCATGTATGAATCTAAAAAAAAAAAAAACAGCATTCAAATAGTAATTTGGACATTGGTTACCATGGCAACAATCGAAGTTTCAAGGCATTCAGGTCAGCCCTGGTGCACTCAGGGTTCCTGTGGATCCTTGAAAAGTCTTGAAAGGCACTGAATTTGTTCATCTAAAAATAAGGCCTTACTCAGTATAAAAAGGTCTAGAAATGCTAAGACATGGGAAGTAGGATTTCATAAATTATTTTATCTGCTATGGTGTGTAAAATTTCAAAATAATTGGTAACATCTATTTTTCCAGAATGCCTCTTGCATTAATGGGACGCAGATCAGGGAATTGTCCCTAACCCTTATTAATTGATGTCAGTTGATGTTTTTTTTAACTTACCTTAGCTGAAGGAACCCTGCACAGTTTGTTAAGGGGAGAGTAATTAAATATAATCTGGATCCATAAAGAGCCTAATAAGCAGTTAAAATCTTCTACCTGAACAAAGTGTGCTTAACTCCAAACAAGCAGACAGAGCGCAGCCGGTAGTCTGGTCTGAAAGCTGTTGAAGATAAACATTTCCTTGTTGTCATTTAACCTTGAAGACTGAACACTGTCACCTGTTACATGTGTTGAAAGTTGTGTCTTGACGTTGCTGTTGTGTTGATGTTTTTGTTGTGTTGTTGCAGTTTTAAGTTCAGATCCCACACGATGTAAAGAAGCTGATTTGTCATGAAAAACTAAAATCGGTGCTGTGATTTCACCTCCTCTCTGCTGCTGCTGCTTCCCCCAGCCTCCAGAGAAGGAGGGCGGACTGCCTCGCCAGGTTGGAAACAAGACGGAATGTGCCTTACTGGGATTCTCCCTCGACCTGCGCCGAGATTACCAGACGATTCGCAACGAAATCCCAGAGGAGAAACTGTTTAAGGTCTACACCTTCAACTCTGTGAGGAAGTCCATGAGCACCGTGCTAAAGAACCATGATGGCAGCTACCGAATGTTCAGCAAAGGGGCCTCTGAGATCCTGCTCAGGAAGTAGGTTTACCAGCCGGTGCTCGCACAGCTCTGTGCTCAGTTAGATGATGATCACGTGACTCTTTCCTCTGGTTCCAGGTGCTGTAAGATCCTGATTGCCGATGGCCAGGCCAAAGGCTTCAAGCCTCGGGACCGAGACGACTTGGTGAAGAAGGTGATTGAGCCGATGGCGTCAGAGGGCTTAAGGACCATCTGCCTCGCCTACAGAGACTTCCCCGTCTCTGATGGAGAGCCTGACTGGGAAGATGAAGCCCACATCCTCACTGGCCTCACCTGCATTGGCGTAGTAGGCATTGAGGACCCTGTGCGACCTGAGGTATGGCAGCAGGTCTCAGTAAAGATACACACAGTGCGAGTCACTACTTACAGAACATCTGAAGAAGAGTTCCCTGAAACTGTGTAGTCTGTTCCTATTTTAAGTGTCTGATGTAAAAGTACTTCACAAGGCTTTTTCACTGGTGAAATCACAGCCTGTATTTAATTAAGCATCTCAGAGGAGTGAAATAAATCTGACTTCTATCTGTGCTGATACTGGGAGACCTCCAGAGGTGTCTGATGGAGGAGTAATGAAAGCTTGATGACCATGAGCTTATTATAACTGTTTCAGGTGCCAGACGCCATCAGAAAGTGCCAGCGGGCCGGGATCACTGTCCGCATGGTGACTGGAGACAACATCAACACTGCCCGAGCCATCGCCAGCAAATGTGGCATCCTGCAACCTGGAGACGACTTCATCTGTATGGAGGGCAAGGAGTTTAACCGCCGGATCCGCAACGAGCTGGGAGAGGTCAGACAAACACAGACTGGACCAAAGGACAGCAGTGTCCATCGTAAACGGGGCCTTAAGTCCTTTGTCGATTTTATTCTTCATTTGATGACCCCATGACTTTTCCTCTAGCTCCACCTTCATGTCAAGTTCTTTTAAGCTCCTACTGGCGCTGTACCGATGCTAAAAGATCTGAAAATAATAAGTCTGATTTTTGTCCTTTTCTTATTTCCTGTCCTGGAAACCTTCTCTCAAACCCCTCTGATTCTCTGTGACTACTTGTAGGCTCACTCACCACTGCTTCAGGGGACACTAGCAGCACTTAGTTTGATAAACTCATTTAAATAAAGGTTTTGCAACTAACTCTTCATATTTTCTCGGATTGCAGATTGAGCAGGAACGCATCGATAAGATTTGGCCAAAGCTGAGAGTCCTCGCCAGATCGTCTCCGACAGACAAGCACACTCTGGTCAAAGGTTAGAAACACTTAAACCAGGTCAGGACAGACAGTCAGACAGATGTAGGGGTTAGAGAGACGGGGAGAAGTGAGACAGGTGAGGCAAAGGAAAATGTATTTGTACGGCACAATTTATTCATGAGGCAGTTTCAAAGCGCCCTCTCACGTCTAAACATCAAAATAAAAAGAAAACAAACTTTAGAGGGGTGAATAAAACATAATGGGCCTCACTTATAAACAGAGCATACGCATGAATCTGTTCTTAAACCTTCAACAAACGTTTATGCACAAATCTGATTTATCAATATTCTATTACCTGAATTTGTTCGTACTCTAAATTTAGAACTGAAGTCTGTCTCTTGGCATTACAAGTGTTTGTCTGTGTAGTGTTTTTATTGGGGTCTGACTATGGGTCCTGCCACGTTGCTTTTTAGGTCAGCTGGCTCACCTGTTGTTACTGTTGTTGTCTTGACAACGAGCATCTATAACTTTAAGGGAGGAGCTTCTGAAGGAGCACATGTATTTTGTTTGGGTTTTGAGTTTGATTATCAACAGTCCTTCTCCAGAATCACAGACTCCACCTTTAATACATGCGTAGAAAAAACTTACCCACTTTCTCCATGACACACCTTTGGGCAAACACATTTCCTTATATGGAGAAATGGGGGTGCAGCACTCTGCTGATCGCAAATAGCGAGCACGCACCTGTCAATGATTCTGATTCACCAACACACGCATGGTGGTAAGAACAAAATCAAGCGCCATGAATCTGACGGTAATTTTACGTGTACACTTGTTTTATGCTCAGAGTGAGAACATTTATCGGCGTTTGTTAGTACAAGAGGCCCAGTATAAGCATGAATACAAATTCAGAAGCAGCCCTGATATAAAATTAAAACACAGCCATGAAAACAAAAGTGATAAACACAGCAGAGACAAGCTGAGTTTCAGCAGAGTTGAACTGTATCTTAGACCCTTATGGTCCATAACTGTGTCTCAGCAGTGTGTCTGTCTGTCATCAGGTATCATCGACAGCACCGTGCTGGAGCAGAGGCAGGTTGTCGCGGTAACTGGAGACGGAACAAACGACGGCCCGGCCCTCAAGAAAGCAGACGTTGGCTTTGCCATGGTAACCATTGTAGCTGATGTCATCACAGCAATTTGTAACATTTAAGAGTTATTTATAAAACAGTAAATACAGTAATCAGCACATGACAATGAACTTGTTCTCATCAGCTGATCTGAAAAGTCAGGAAGGTGTGAACTTATTTATCTGTTTTAATTAAACAAATCGACTGACAGCTACATTTCACTAAAATTGTATTTTATGATTTCATGTGACAAAGAAATTGATTGATTGAACTTACCTGTAAAATGTTTAATATGTAATAAAATATTCAGATATTAAGTTTATATTAATTTGCTACATTTTCAAGTTTAAAGAAAAGAAACAAAACTAATATTAAGATGAACGTTGAACTTCCTGTCGTCCTCTGCTATGATCCCGCCCCCTTAGACCTTTAATGTCCTCTCTCCCTATTCCCTAACTGTGTGTCCAGTGCAGTGACTGTTTATAAAGATGGATGAGGCATCTTCACTTTACCCCACTGTACAAAAATGAAGCCAAAATATCTCAGGTACTGCCACTGTCATCTGGAGCCAGAGTCTGCACAGTAGTGATCTCCTCCAGCAACTAGTTTCTATTCATACACCCGTCCAACCAATCGTGAGCACACCAATTGGCACACACAGCTGTCAATCATGACATCAACCCCCCCCCCCCCCTTTTTATAGCTTCAAATACCTAATTAAAACTTACCAGAAAAACAAACACTTGAACAAACATCAGCGTAAAAATGATGACTTAAAATGACAGAACCATCTTTGGAAAAAGAATGTATTTGATGTGTACTTTGAGTTTCTAGTTTGACCCGTCCAATCTGCTCACATGTTTTGTCTTTACTTTTGGGAAGATGTCGTCAGTCTTTTTATACAGTCTGTGTTCGAGTGTAAGAACATGTGGGCGTCTACTGTCAGTCATCGCAACTTGAGAGATGTGTGTCGCACCACACAGAGATGTGTGAGGAGCATTTAAATGATCTCATCATGTCCCTCACATGTAGGCTGACAGCCAACATGTTCTCACACCCAACTCGTCAAATCCTGGTTTGGTCAGTTTTTCTTTCACGTGTAAACATGACATGCTAGGTATCAGGACATTGTGTTAATTCACGCTAGTAACATGAATAATGTCTTTTCAAAATACATTTCCATTCTGGGGTGTCGGTGGCTTAGTGGGTAGAGCAGGCGCCCCATGTACAAGGCTATTGCTGCAGCGGCCCGGGTTCGAATCCAGCCTGTGGCCCCCTGCTGCATGTCACCCCCCCCACACCCACCCGCCCTGTCCATTAAAGGCAAAATGCCCCAAAAATATCTTTAAAAAAAAAAATACACTTCCATTCTCACAGGATGCACAGTCCCTGCTCGTTAGATGCATACAGTCTTCTTCAAAAGAAACTTAAATATTAGTAAAAGACCTCATGTCTACGTTTATTTTCTTCTGCAACAAAAGCACATGGTCAGGTTTAGAAAAATACATCAAAGGTTGCGCACAACAGTCACACAGGAAGCGAACACCGGCCCCCTGAGTGAAAGTCCACTGATTGTTGGACCCATCCACCACCCCTCCCACCTGCCCTAAAGGGACCTTTAAGTTCCTTAAATTACGTTGCTGTCTGGTGGCGTTATGCACCGGATTGTGTATCATACCGCTGCGAAAGGATGCCTTTTTTCATCTGTGTGTGATGCTGAGTCCTGACCCCCCCCATGCAGCAGCCCTGGTCCAGGCCCGGGGTCACAGCCAGGTTTAGTGTAAGGTTTGTGTTAACTAACCTATGTGCTGTGTGTTCTGCAGGGCATTGCAGGAACGGATGTGGCAAAGGAAGCATCTGACATCATCCTCACAGACGACAACTTCAGCAGTATCGTGAAGGCTGTGATGTGGGGCAGGAACGTGTACGACAGCATCTCCAAGTTCCTGCAGTTCCAGCTGACAGTTAACATCGTCGCCGTCATTGTGGCGTTCACCGGAGCCTGTATAACCCAGGTCAGAGCCACCTGACACCGCTGATACCTGCATTAGGGGTGGACCAATTAACAGCAGTGTTTGACAGTCCAAGTGACAGTGGTGACTGAGAAAGGTGTCAGATAAATATCCATTAATGCTGGAGGTCATTTGTGTCGCCAGGTGTTTCCATCCTCACAACCAAAACACCAGAGGGCTGCACCACGCAGCGAGATTAGTGGCTTAGCGGGGTATGTTGAGTCTACGAAGACGGCTCTCTTTTAACCTGGCTAGATCACCATGGTAACAAGATGATGCTGCAGATCTAACCTGGTCAGGACCAGTTTATATTCTGAGTTTCACGTTAAAATCAGCTAAAACTCAACTTTCACAGCTGATTCGAGTAGCGTCACTCTATAGTTAATGTCAGATTATGAGTGAAACAGATTCTCAGCTGAGATAATGCGTTATAAATGCACCTTACCCAACTTGAGCTGTAACGCTACATAAATGCGACCGTACGTAGCCATGCAGTTACAGTAGTGCTCACTGTATCTATCAGTCAAATGTTGTTATTAATCAGGATGATGTTTACTTGCATGTGAAATACAGCACAGTTCCTTCAAAGCATACCTTAATGTTACCACTTAGAATTATGTTTTGATGTTTGATCCTGATTTGCTGAAGTTACAGCTGATACAACATTAATTAGTCGACTGGTATTTATCACAGATGATATTCAATCAATAAAACTACAGTGATTTCCACTGGGACAGTGTCAGTATATGTAAATGCAGTTCTTGTGTACAACATTTAAAACTGCTGCATCAATTATAAAGTTTAAGAGCTGTAAGATGTGCAGCTGTCATGTTAGAAATAAACAGAGCAGTGAAATAAACACATTCACTTTCATGACATCACTCCTCTCTCACTTTAATCTAAGCACCAGTGTTGCTTTTTACTGTGACACTTTTTTAATATTCTTCAAAGGCGGAAGTAGACGACACATGATCAATGATCTTCAAATGATGTGCTGAAAACGCTGAGTCATTTAATTGGTTGTATATGAACATGCACAGCGCCTTCAAAGGAACACCTGGGTAAACAGAGCAAGCTGATAATCACGTCTGTGGTACCTGTTATCTCTGACTGAGGCGTTAGTGTTTGTGGAGCCTGCTCAGATGAGGAGAACCTGACTCTTGAACTTCATGGTGCAGCCCTCTTGTGGCTCCTGGCTTAGAGACTCTGTTCTCACATGGACAGCTCAGACTAACAGCATTCAGGTTTTACTGCTTTTAGATCAATTACATTCAGTTAGAATAAAGGTGATGTCACTAATTTTCATGTGCCAATCAGAGTTAGGCAACATTTGAATCAAGAAGTAATGAAGGTCATGTGAAGGTATTTTGTCCATATCACTCGCACCGTCCTGATGATGAAGATTAGCTCAGGTGTTCAACTTTAATAACACACAACTGATTGTTGCTTATGTAGTCATGAATATTTATTGTAAATTAGAAATACTTGAGATGTGAAACAGTTTTCAGAGGCGTTGAGCTTCTGTTGACATGAAATACTAATGTCTGCAAATGACTGAACAGATCAGGGGTGGAGCGATTCATCAATGTAATCGTCGCCAAACATTAGGCTTTAAACAGCTACACCACAGTCACATGACTTCAACGTCGCCACCACAGCAAGGCTGTAAAGCCGTGTAGGCTTAATTAGCCACTTGTGAGCAACTGACTTTTTAAGACACATAGAAAACTTCAAAATTCATGAGTGGGATCGTGGATCATTGAATTGACACATCGATCCAGATCGATGTGTCGTGACACCCCTAATATGTCCTGATGTGTTTTATGCTGTAGAACAAAACAAAGGCAGCAGACAGGACACTCACACACTACATTGAAAGCTCCTGGCAATTTTAATTGTGCAACGTGCAACAGGATTTGACAGAGCCTGCCAAGATCACTGTTAGATTGAAACGTTTCACAATTCAAATTGTTGCTAGGAGCTTTTTCATAATGATACACTGCCTGTGGGTTTTGTTTCTATGACAACAGTATCGTGATATTGACGTCAACATGACACTACGTTAACAAAGGGTTTACTACACAGTCAACAACAAGCTTACAACATGTACAGTGATTAAAGCACAACACTCACCAGCAACATCCGCCACATCCGGTGTCCGCCGGCCGATCTGCTCCCACAAATGGTCTCTTCTGTTTTTGTTGTGACAGTGACCCAGCGAAAGGAGTCGCAGTGACATCACCAGCACCTCTTTGAAAAGTTCAGAGATTTTCAGTAGAACTAGGAGCACTCGAAGTGGCTGCGCAAAGAAGCAGGAGCGCTCTGACTAAAGACACTGAGCAACGCTTTTTCTCTGACACTCGCTCCTCATTAGAAACGACTGAAAAAAGACGTCAGCACTGAGAAAAAAATGTTGCGTGGACACAAGCCCTTGGTCTGATTTTTAGATCCAGTACCTGTGATGCTGTGTTCGCACTATGAGCAACAGCGTGACCAGAAACATTATCGCCAAGTCACCACTGAAGTGTTGCTCAGGTGCTCATTAACTTAGTTACATCGTTACTTGTTCTCAAGTTTGTATTTGATCAAAAAGGTCTCTGCTTTTGATCGATGTCTGAGTCCCAGTTTAAACATGACATTTCATCGCCCCATGGCACCACAGCACATAAAGCTAGCATAGCATCAGCTGACTGCACTAAATAACACAGGACCACAGCTAGAAATAAACACACATTATTGGTTGATGCTTCAAAGTGTCATTGGAGTGCTTTTCTTTGTAGCAGGTCACCAGTATCAGGCATCGGCTTGTAGCTTCATGTCACCGGCTTCCACTGAAAATGACCTGAAGCCTGTTGCTGTGTCACTCGTACTGTGAACACAGCATACACGTTTTTGGGTGTGCATACCCTCCACCCTGCTGTTACAACAAAATTTTAAAATCTCTTGTGTCAACCACAGACTTTATTTCAGACGTCAAACCAGAAACCCACTGACTTGGAGAAGAGGGAACCCTTAGTGATAAAACACAAACTTAACTCTGGGTGTTAGGACTCATTCCTGCAGCACTTAAAAGATCATTTTCAGTCTGAGGTTGTGTGACTATGTTTTCTGAAGTAAACATCATGAAACTCAAGGTCGATGGCGCCTTTTGTTTCTCTGCTGACAGTAGATCTGTGTGTGTGTTTCCAGGACTCTCCTCTGAAAGCTGTCCAAATGTTATGGGTCAACCTCATCATGGATACCTTCGCTTCACTGGCTCTTGCCACCGAGCCGCCAACCGAGTCGCTGCTGCTCAGGAACCCGTACGGTCGCAAAAAGCCGCTTATTTCCCGCACCATGATGAAGAACATCCTGGGACACGGCGTTTACCAGCTCACCATAATCTTCACCCTGCTCTTCTTAGGTCAGTGAACGCACCACAGCTTCATGGTCTGAAGCAGAGTCACTCAATTTAAAGTCCCCTTAAAAACCCTTAACTAGTGTAAAAAACATGAATCGTAATTACAACGTTGTTACTAATTAATAGTTTATTTATTATGAAAGGGTAAGTGAATAAAGTTTAATATGAAGACATGGAGAGATTGGGTTGATTTCTTTACCTGCTGATAAGTCTTTGACCCTCCTTCTCACAGGTGAGAAACTGTTTGACATTGACTGCGGCAGGAACGCCCCCCTCCACGCTCCGCCCTCTGAGCACTACACCATCGTGTTCAACACGTTTGTCCTGATGCAAATCTTTAACGAGCTAAATGCACGCAAGATTCACGGCGAGAGGAACGTGTTTGAGGGCGTCTTCAAAAACCCCATCTTCTGTTCCATCATCCTGGGAACCCTCCTCGTACAGGTAACCTGTGAGGGGCGAGGTGATCGTCACACCTGGTCAGCTTCACAGTGTAAAGTGACGAAGGATTCCCTGCATGATGTCGTCTCTCTTCCCTCCTGTAGATCGTCATCGTTCAGTTTGGCGGCAAACCGTTCAGCTGTGTGAGACTGACCATTGAGCAGTGGCTGTGGTGTTTCTTCCTGGGTATCGGCAGCCTCCTGTGGGGACAGGTGAGACACTTTTACCATCATTTTGATAGCAGACAGGAAATGGTGTGAGGTGGAGATGACCTCAAAAAAACTCAAAACCCATATTTGCTACTGGGTCGATTTCTGGATTTGCTGGTCCACTCCAATGTATGAGCTTAAACCTGTTTGATTTACAGACTGAACTGGTCTTTGTTGTTTTGTTCTGGCAAATTAAAAAATAGCCTACATCATCAACGTGTGCTGACGGCGCCACGGCACCAAATCCAACTTGTATTGCAGTAGTAATACATTTCTTGTGATGACGAGCTGAGACATGGCAGAGTTGTATCATGTTCACAGTGGACGCAGACGCACCCAGATATGTTTAGTTGCAGAGCCGCCTCTTCAGCAGTCGCCTGGTTGTTCACACCAGAAACACATTTCTCTGCACTGGTCAGCAAGCGTCTCAGCTCCTCTGCTCTTTGATCATTTATCATAATCAGATCATTTATATCATGAATATCTTTTATATTGTTCTAAATAGATTATCAGTGTCTTTTCTTGACAGATTCACTCAGACTTGTGGAAGAAATAGACCAGACTATCACTGCAGATCATGAGCCGCCCGCAGTGCTCCCTGCGTGAACAGCCCCAGTTGCTTAACATGGGCAGTGGAAGGAAGCGAGCAGCGCTCCACGGAAAGTCGTCGCGATTCACAGCACTTGCTTGTCCAGTGTGAATCCATTGTTAGTCTCTCAAGAAAAATAAATCTGCACAACTACGGCAACATTTTGTTTTTTAAGCCGATGAAAAAAGGCGTCCATCTGTCTGCGAGCTGAAATTTGTCTATTCATTTAAAAAAAATTAAAGCGCTGCAATGGACGAGAAATAAAGTTGACATGAGGAGTTATCTGTAAGATACTGTCTTATTTCACTACAAATACTAAAATAAGGTATGTCTTTCAAGAGCCACAGAATAATTTGTTCTATGAATATGTAAACAGTGTATAAATTAAATTAAAGAAGACCTTCTGTTTTTAATCACAAAAAAACATTTTATTCCATTTCTTTTTATCAACACTTGAATTTGTGCGTTTTCATAAAATCAATTTCACATTTAGATTTTGTTCTCATTTCCTGACGTCAGTTTAATTGTATAAATGATAATAATGAAAATAATATTCTCTTTGAGGTACAGCAGAACACGTTGTCACGTTCAGTGTTCTGTTGACTTCGTCTCCTCTGTGGTCGTCTTGTCCATCAGCATCTCCACGGCTTGCACCATAAACTTCCATAACATAAACAACCATAAACTTTCGGCATTTTCGTGCAGTTTACAAGCTGCAACATCTTCTTCCAGTTTCTGGCAGGATCTTCTTCTTCATTTGTTTTTGGACACAGCAGTGCTGCTCTACTTCACAAGATGTGTAACAGCACCTCCTATCTTATAGCAGTGAAAACACAGATTGCTGGAAAATCTCATAAGTGGCAGGGAAAGAGTAGTCTCGCCACCAGACAATCAGAGATCTCCGGCTTCTGATAGTCTGGGGACACTCCTTTCTAAAGTGTATTTAACAAACCGGAGAAAACGGCCGACAACAAAGCAACGCCTCTTGCATTTTTGAAAAGGACACGCCCTCCCGGAAATGTGCGCTCCCCCTTTTCTCGTCCGCAAGGAAACAAACACACAGAGAGCTTGAAAATGGATGCCGAGCGATTTAACTCCGTTTTATCAAACGTGTGCTCAGTTCACAAGATTGTGGAAATGAAGGACTTACAGTGACTTTGTTTAAAACTTTTATCGCAGTGGGACTATGTTTACGAGCACAAGAGTTCAGCGAGCCACCGAAGGACCGCCCTGCAGATTTACTATTGGTTCTGCAACGTAGGGAGTTTTTTTAAACTCTGAAATTGTATCCGCCCATCTAAACACAAAATCAGGGAGAAAGACATCAGTCTTTAGATAAGCAAAGCGTCTAAAGACTGACGTGTGAGTCTAGGGAAAGAGTTGTCTCCAGTCTGATCATTGGCACACAGCTGATCGGTGCATGGTTTGTTTACATGTTGTAACTGTTAGAGCGTTTCCTTAAAGGCTGCAACATTGATCCAAACAGCTGAAAGTAGCAGCAATGGGAGTCAGTCAGAGTTTACATCATCAACAAATTAAAACTGTGACAGGATCAAATATATGAAACAGGAAGTTAGAGATAATAACCAGGTCCTCTCTGCAGCTGCTCGTCATCATTAGAAAACTGTCTCCAAACCTTCAGGTGGTCTCAACATGTAAACATGTTCAGGTCACAGAGGTGTTGAGATGGGGCGTCGGTAGCGCAGTGGATAGTGCCGGCACCCCATGTAAAGAGGCATTGCCTCGCTGCAGCGGCCGCGGGTTCGAATCCGACTCACAGCCCTTTGCTGCATGTCAGTCCCCACTCTCTCTCTGTCTCCCCATTTCACTCTCTGTCCTGTCATTAAAGGCAAAAAGCCCACAAAAATAATCTTTAAAAAAAAAAAACAGAGGTGTTGAGAAACAGGAAGTGCTGCTGTTGTGTCTGACTGACTGCATCATGTTTATGTCGGTCCACCGCTTAGCTGGTGTCCAGTGTTCCCACTAGCTGGCTCAAGTTCCTGAAGACGGCGGGTCACGGCACGCAGCAGGAGGAGATCCCTGAGGAGGAGCTGGAGGAAATGAAGGACCTGGACGAGATAGACCACGCTGAGATGGAGCTGAAGAGGGGCCAGGTGCTCTGGTGCCGCGGCCTCAACCGCATCTCGACACAGGTATGGCTTCACCTCCACCTGGGTCCTGTCACATAACAGTGTCCACTGTGACGACGTGTTCAGACTCTCCACCTCAGTGGAAAAGATTCAGGAAACGTTTATCAAAACAAGCAGGATGAGCCTCCTGAAATCGTTCCACATATACATCAGTTTTGCATAAATCATTTCAAATGTTTGTTTCTGAGTCCAAACAAAAGTGAACAGGAAGTTTAAAAAAGTAATCCACTGGATTAAGTACTGCAGCTAATGGCAGAGGGGCCTACTTCAAAGCCAGACAGCTGCGGTTTGTTTCCATCTGTGAGGCAGAGGATTTATTTATTCTAATCTTCTATGGAGAGTCAATAGAACTAACTACAGTGTAGTGGTTATCCAGTGGACTGTCACTTCACTATAATGGTTGAATTAGAGGCAGAGTTCACAGATCAGGAGCTGAATCAACAGACAGCCAGCAGAGGACCGACCCACAAGACAACGTGTCCCAGTAAACCCGTGGTGTTCAACAGCTGACTGAAACTGCGCTGACACATGTTCACACAGGCAGTTTTCTGGCTCCTGCCTCTGCCGCAGTTCTACAGAGAAGAAATTTAAGTTGAATTAAATTTTAGTTGATGAGTATTTCTCAATTGTGTAACAAGAAATGATGAACTGTCATCATCATGTTGAGATCAAACTGGATAAAATATCAGCTGCCAGATTCACCAGCGTGGTTTGTTACTGTTTTAGTTTGTATACGTACTGTATGTACTGTACATGGACATTGTGGCCTGCAGGTCCTTTAAAAAGTTAAATTACGTGGTAATCAAATCAGATAGAACTAGAAAAGTGCTCTCAGTACAGTCAGGCAGCTCCTGTAATTCTAGCAGACGCAGCACAGCGTTTTGACAGAGCCATGGCGTGATGCGCAGAACAGATCGATTTTTCTTGCTAACAGGAGGAGGAATTTATTTAAGCACAGCAAAGAAGGAAATATCAATAAGCACAACTAAAATGGTCAAAAAGAAAAACTACATCGTCTGCTTAGAACAGATATCAAGGAAAATGACCAAATTAGCAAAATCTCGGCATCACAGAATCAAAGGAGTCCTGAAGGGTGTGATGTAACACAACAACGTCAGTGTGACATACATCATACACATCACCAGCTCTTTAGAAACAATAACAGTGACATCACATGTCAATAACAATAATTTACCGTCCCTTTTATACGGCGGCTGATCTCGTCCTCTGCTCAGAGGGTAAGGAGCTCCGGGACCTCATTGTTTTTCCAATTTGTGGACATTTTCGGCTGCTGCTCTTCTTTGAGTTAGACGCTAACTGCTATCAGCTACTCTTTAAATCTCCCACCGTGAGTCACAAAGGAAAGTCCCCAAAAGAAAAACGACCAGAATTTTCCATTAACACTAAACTCCGACTGTTTCCTCCTCTTTCAGATTCGTGTTGTGAACGCCTTCAGAGACAGCGTGTCTCCCTACGAGGGTCTGGAGACGCCTGAGTCTCGCAGCTCCATCCACAGCTTCATGAGCCACCCTGAGTTCCGCATCGAGGACTCGGTGCCTCAGATCCCCCTGATCGACGAGGTCGACTGCGAGGACGACGCTCCAATCAAACGAAACTCCCTTGTCCTGCCGCCGCCACTGACCGGGCTGTCCACCCTGCCGACTCTCCCGTCCTCACCCAATCAGAACAACACCATGGAACGCATCGTCCAGCTGCCTGGTCTTGGTCCGCCCAACTCAGCGGGGCTGCCTCCGTGTCCCGGGAGCCCTCTGCACAGCCTAGAGACTTCACTCTGAAGCCCAGAGTTCTGGTTCTTCCAAGAGAATGAAAAAAAACATTTAAAAAAAGACTCACCTGATTGGTCCTCGTCAGGAGCTCACCTGCAGGGTTTTAGAATCCAGGAAGCAGAAATGTTTCCAGATGTGTCTGTGGCTGTGTGCTGAGCGGCGGCAGGAAGTTCACACAGACTGATGTTTCCTTCTTTATTTTAATAGACATGGACTCTGCAGTTGTTTAGGAGAAGAGTGTTTGTGAGGTGATCAATAATCTGTTTCTGATGTGTAAATATTGATGTTGGTGTTGAGACGTAGTCACAGCTCACGACGAGTTCAGGTTAATTTGTGTTGAGGTTTAATTATCGATCTGTGACTGAGATGTGTAGAGTCAGTCAGTCGTAATGAGGCGGGAGGGGGGGGGGTTACTCTTCAAAGACGTGTTTGTAGATAGAACATTTATTTTATTTTAGCATTTTGTAAAAAGTTTTAGTCGTTTCAACGTTGTTTGTTTTAAAAGGTGTAAAAAATAATTAAAAGTTAAAAAAAACACCTCCAGAGTAAAATGTTTGTGACGCAGCTTCACATCGGAGAGACGATCTGATGAATCCTCTTCTTCATGTCAACCTGCTGAAGCTCCGCCTCCTTCATGATGAATATATGACATCATAGATCCTTCATCATACCGTGCCCACAGGAAACTCTCCACTGCAGTCTGAAATAATTCACACTATGATGTTTGATATTCACTGAGACACTGAATTCTTTTTATTCCAAAGTCGATCATTAAAAATGTTTTCAAATCAAAGGTCTCTATCTGAGAGTAAAGAACCTGCAGTGAAGGTGGAGCTGGCTCAAATTTAACGATTCAACAAAGATGTTTCAACGATTTATCAGTCAGAACGTCACCATGAGAGCTATTACTGACTGAATTAACTAGACTGAAAGTCCTTATTTTAATTCACAAAGCAGCATTTCTAAATTTCAGAGAGTCTGTGCTGAGCTAGGTGTCGATTAACGATAAACTACACGGGTGGTTTGTGACTGTACAAGAAACAAAAGTTCTCACATTTTGAAATAAGAAAGTTGGAATATTAACATTAAAACTTTACAAGAAAAACAGTGTAATGTGAGGACAAAGTTAGAATTTAACAATTAAATAAAACCTATATTTTAGTAAAAACAACTTGACAGAAGCTGCCAAAATCAAAAACAAATGACTCAATAAATAAATGTACCAAAAATAATATTAAATATAAATGTAGGCATTAATTCATTGATAAAATCATGAATAAGTTTGGGTCAATAAATTAGGGGGGAAATGTGAAATGAAAATAACACTTAAAAATAAATTGAAAATTAAATGTAAAAAGTGCAAAAAAGATTAAATGTTAAAAAAAAAAGGAAACATCAATTTATGTCACATTTTATAAAGTCATGCTTACATTTATTTTTCATTTCTTTGGTAGATTTAATGGCATATTATTTATTTATTCATGATCAAAATCAATTAATCAATACCTACATTTATTTTTATTTATTGTACAGTTAATGGGATATTTATTTATTTACTTTATTATTCATAGAATCTCTTGTGGCAGCTCTTGTCCTCCAAACAGGAACATGGAATCTACCTGAAACAATAATTGAACCCAGCCTTCTGTGTTTTTGGTGGAATGTGGAATGTTCCTCACTTTACCTCCGGTGAGACACAGTGACAGAAACACACCTGTACTGCTGAGGTGGAATGTAACTGAGTACATTTACTCAAGTACTGTACTTAAGTCCAAAATTGATATTTAAATCTGATGCCGTTGTGTGCTCACACTCCACAACACATCAGAGGAAGTCCTGCACTCTTCATGTCGGACAGGAGAGTTACCTGACAGGTGACGTCAGCTCCCCCTGGTGGAGAAACCTGAGAATGACTTCCTGCTCCACACTGCCATGCTGCTGAGAGGTGAGAACAGTTGTGCTTTACTAACTGAACCCAGGTAGCTGTAAAATAATTGTTTATCAATTATATTGTTTATGCATAATCTGTTTTATGTCATTGTGAAGATTTATTTTAATTTACTTTATTTGAATCAAACTTTTAAATCATATCTTGAAGCATATAACCCAAAGAAAATATAATATAATGTATTTACAGTACAGGCCAAAAGTTTGGACACACCTTCTCATTCAATGCATTTTCTTTATTTTCATGACTATTTACATTGTAGATTCTCACTGAAGGCATCAAAACTATGAATGAACACATGTGGAGTTATGTACTTAAGAAAAAAAGGTGAAATAACTGAAAACATGTTTTATATTCTAGTTTCTTCAAAATAGCCACCCTTTGCTCTGATTACTGCTTTGCACACTCTTGGCATTCTCTCCATGAGCTTCAAGAGGTAGTCACCTGAAATGGTTTTCCAACAGTCTTGAAGGAGTTCCCAGAGGTGTTTAGCACTTGTT